GAGCAGCAGTTCCAGGCACACTGTGCCAAACTGAATCCCTGTGAACAGCTCACAGCTTCTCCTTCAGTCTGGCCCTCCTGGCCATGTGTCCATTGGCCCCTCTGGGAAGTTGTTCTCCCAACTGGCTCTGTGCAGAGAGCTGTCAATGCTCCGGCTGGACCCTGCACTCTTGGCTTTCCCAGTGGCTCTGGGCAGGAGGGCAACTGGGGGCTGCCTGGTTTCCCTAAGGGAGAAGAGGGTTTGCATCTGCTGGGTGACCAGCTGCTTGCTCCCCATGGTCTCTTCAGTCCTGGTTGGGGTTTAACAGGCACGTTTTTCATGTGTTGCAGGCAGGTGCTCTGGCAGGGATGGGTGACAGGCACAAGCAATGGCTGTGTTCCTATGGCATGCAGGTGGCTGGAGCATGAAGTGGACATCCCTGCAGTGGAACCAGGAGCTGCTGGACAGCACCAACAGCTCAGCCTCCAGCTCTGCTCCAGCAGGAAGCTTAGTGGTGGCATGAAAAACCTCTCCTGAACTGCTCCTACAGCATCAGTCCTGAAACAGGGACTCAGTGGGCTGGTGTGACTTAACCATCACCTTGTAAGGCATTCCAGGAGGTCACAGTAAGGAGTCAAGCGTGACAGGGACCTTGTGGGGTGAAGTGGGGTGAGGACAGCAGCTGTGTCCTCACTGCCTTCTTGGCAACACTAGAAGTGTTCTGGGTTCAGCTGGAGCCTGATTGCCAGTGTGCCCGTGCATGGTGAGGATCCAGAGAGCATCCACAAGGCTTGTTTGTGGTCTCCTAACAAGATGAATTCTTGCAGCAGTGGGAGATGAAGCATTTGAATTCCTGAGCAGTTGAACTTGGCAGAGTGACAAAGACAATCCCCGCAGTGCCCCAGCTCATCTTCTGCTTCCAGCAGGTGCTGAGGGCCATGGTGTGACATGAGCACCCTGCCACCTCCTTCTGCCTTTGCCCAGTTCTGCTGGGATTTTACAGACTGCAGGTCATGTCTTGGATACCTTGTCATGTTCCCTGTAGCCCTGGGACTGCCCTTGTACTCACCCAGGAAAGTGGGGGCATCTTCCTCCTGGGAGGCTGTGCCCAAGCCATATCATGGGCAGACATTGTGACCTTATGGACAAGTAGGGGGCAGAAGATTTGTGCTGACGAGTAGCTGGCACCTCCTGCTGCTGGAGGTCTCCCAAAATGCTGGTCATTGCATAACCCTGTTGTCCTTTCTGATGTGTGAGGCTAGGGGTGCTCCATTCCTAGTGGGATGAGAGTGACCTGGAGGAAATCCTACAGTTAGTATGTGGTGGGAGGTGATATGGAACCCGAGGTTAAAGATTGGGTGAGATGCTGTTCCATCTGGGAAAGAGGAGTGCAAGAATCTTCCCTTATATAACGCCTTGCTCCTGAGAAGGTGGTGAGAAGCACCCCACCACGTTCCTCAGATGGGCTGAGAAGGAGTTGGCTTCACGGGAAGCAGTGGGTCTGACGTGGCAGGAGTATGCTGGAGCTGCTGTTCTGTCAGAACTGAACTTGTGGACTCTGGATGCATTTGTGTGTGTAGGTGGGCTGTATGGATTATGTGCAATGAATCCCCTGTTTCAGGTGCCCAGAGGAGGGTCCTGGATAGAAATCAGCCCTGAACGCTGTGCTGATGCCTCTGTCTTTGCTGGCCATAGGAAGGGAGAGCTCCTGGTGGAGTCTGAGGAGGGAGGTGGCACTGCATGACCTTGCAAAGGGACAAGTCCTCTTTCTTGCCCCACTTACTGGTCCTGTTGTCACAGCCAGCAGCCTGACGCTCACAGTGTCCCACTGTTCACCTCTCGCTGAGCTCCTCCACCCGTGTGAGACTGCATTGGATTTGACTGGAGGGCTCTACCTTGCAAACTCCACGTTCCCCTTGCTGCTCCATCTGTCGGCTTGGTGGCACAGCCAGCCAGGGGCTCCCTTCTCAGTGGCAGTGCAATACTGCCTGTTGAGCCTTTCTGTTGTTTTGCCATGTTGTTGAGCCTTTTAATTCGCTCTCTTCCCACACCTTTGCCTTTGGACTCTGCTCTCCAGTCTCTCTGGGTTGTTTCTTTTCATTGCAGTGTTTCTCTCCACGGGGATAATCCCAAACTCACTGTGTCACCAGCCTCTTTTGCACTTTGCTGCACTATTCTTGCCTGGTCTCTGCCTGCTTCCTAATCTCCTTTGGTATGATCACAGGGCTGATCTCCCAGCCCCTTTAGCAGATCCCCTTATCCATTTCCGTTGTCATGGCTCCCCACTTCATTGCCTCTGCCCATTTCTCAAGTCTTTATGCAGCCTCATCCCTTTGTCACAGGCTGGACAAGACAGCATTCCCAGCTGCAACCTCCCTGCTCCTTCTTGGCGGTATTGTCCTCTCCTGAGCCCACCTGCCAGTGCTGAGCTCTGCAGCAGCCCTGCCAGAGGCTGGGTTCTCTGGGAAGAAGTGTAGAAGCAGAGGCCAGCTCACTAACCTGGTTTCCAGCTTAATTTGTACAGAAATAAACTAGCACCCCCAGGCTTTGGTTTCCCTTAATTTCAAAACCCTGGATCAGCTGGGAAGAAATCACATGTTGTAGCTGTCCCTAATGAGGTAGGCATGGGTATTGACAGTGAGTGTCCAGCCACTTCAGCGTGGTCCCACCGACCTGGACCCAGCCATGGGCTTTGGGGTGGACACCTGAGCTCTTCTGGCTTCGGGGACACAGAGCTGCTCCTGGTAGGGTAGAACATCCTTGTCTCTCTTATAGAATAATCTTGAATGTGAAGCAGCATTTGGCTCAAGAGCCAGTCCTGCTCTTCATTCAGGTGTGCATTTTTATTCCTTAGAAAGCCAAGATTCCCACATTTTTAATGGGCAGAGGGGATGTTGTCTGTGTTTTGGGGATGCCACTTCTTTGTCTGTGTAATTGGAAGTTGTAGCAGCCTAGAGTAGATTGTAGAGAGAGGGTATATCCCAGATCTGCTCTTTTGGAACCTTAGGAGGGGCTTTGGAAAGTTGGGATTTCTTGAAGGCCAGACTGGAGCCCTGAGGATTTAGACTGGTTGGAGACTTCACATGAAGTTTATGAAGATCTCTTTGCTCTAAGATCCTTTGAGTTGTCCTCGTCTGCATGAAGTGGTAGAGGGCCAGCTGGATTTGTCCAAAAAACCCTGCAAATCCTGGAGATACCTATCTCTGGTGTGTGTTGCAGTAACCTAAAATAAGGAGCTGAGCTGGAGGTTGGTGGATGGGCTTGTGGTTGGTAGAGCAAGGGGCAGAGCAGTAGGGAGGGCTCTTGTCTGCCTTGTTGCTGAAAAAGCAGGAGTGATATGAGCCGCCTCTGCTCTGCTGCTAAAAACAACCCAGCTTGTTTTTATTTAATGCAGTTTTGATCTGCAGGCCCCAGTGTTTCACCTGCCTGCAAATGGGAACTCCAAACTCCAAGTGCCTTAGAAGCCTGCCTGCATCCCTGCGTGTCCCTGCAGCACTGGGATAGGAAATGTGGTTCTTCCTCAGCTGGAGGAAGGACTGCTGAAATTCAAGGTGAAAGGCATTGGGATGGGACAGGTGAAGCTTCTGTTGGGGTCATGTTTCTGCCACTGAGGTGTTTCTGAGTAAATTGGGCCTCTGCATTGCCAGATTCTGCAGGCTTTCCCAGGAAAATGACCCAAAAACTGCTCATGTGGGATTTCTGCCTGTATTTCTTGTGCAGCATCCTGGCAGCATGGAAGTGGCTCTTCAGGTAGTAAACTGCAAGCACTGGGGAGAGGGTCAGTGTTGGCTCATGTCTGTTGTGGATCCTGCCTGGTGCCAGCATTAGTCTGGGAAATAAATTATTCTTAAATCACATTGGTCCATCCCCAGGGCTAAAGGGACTTAGGCTTTTGTAAGGTCATGATTGAGGTGTCCATAGAGCTCATTCTTGGTGTGGGGCCAGCTCTGGCAACAGAGAACCCCAGAGGGATGTGGACCCTGCTGGAGGATGTGCAAACAAGCCACACCAGCAGGCCGTGACACAGAATAGTTGAGGCAGGGAGGAAAATCACTGGGTCAGGGAAGAAGAGGATAATCAGGGCAAGAGGGAGGAAGAGAATAGCTGGGGCAGGGAGGAGGAGGAGGAGGAAGATAATCAAGGTGGTTGCAGGGTTAAATAAAAGCTGTCAGTGATTTGAAAAGGGGAAAGAAAGAAAAAGAAAACCCGCTGAAGAGACACTCTCCTTTCTCACCCGGCTTGTAATCAGCCGCCCCCTCTGCCAGCGAGCAGCTGGCGGGCGGGCGGGCGAGGAGGGGGTGGCAAGAGGGGTCCAGCTGCTCCTCAGCCCGGCCTTGGCACCCCAGGAGTCCCCAGAGCCCAGCCCAGCACGGGCAGCACGGCCCAGGGGACGTGCCCCTGTCATGGGTCTCTGGCAGGCTGGGGGTCTGAGCTCTTGAAGAGCATTGCCAGGGGAAGGTGGGGTGAGGAAAAGGAGGAGGGGGACTTGTCTGAAATGCCAGGGATTCATTTCCCACTCCCCCTGCCCTTGCCGTTCTAAAGGAGCTGCCTGAGCTGTCGGCTCTGGATTATATTAATTAGCAGAGAAGTGCTGTGCCTGCTCATGGGGCTGTGCTGCTCATGGGGCTGTGCTGTTTGTGGGGCTGTGCTGCCAGCAGGAACCAGAGATTTGGCAGGTCTGTGTGAAGCAGCTGCCTGGCTGCCCAAAACCCCTCGCTCCAGCCCAAAAAAAGCACATCGAAACCAAGTGAGCTGGGGGTCTTCAGCATCTCCTCCTGGAGCCTATCTGGCTGTTTACCTTCTGGGCCAAACCTGCCTGCCCTGATACCTGGGGCTGGTGTGGTAAGGAAAGCAGCACCATGGTTTTGGGATGGCACCCTCTGCTCCTCACTAGGCCTCCACGCCTGTGGGCAAAGAGGGCCAGTCTGACCTGGCCGGGCTGACAGGTCAGTGTGGTGGGGCAGCTGCTGGGGTGGGGGGCGAGGGCACGTCCCTGCCCATGGCTCCTTTGTGTCTTCCAGGAGAGGAAGCTGTGTGCCCACCCCCGGATCGAGATCTACAAGCAGGACCGCATCTACTTCGTGTGTCCCCTTGCCCGCCAAGGGGACTTCTATGTGCCTGAAATGAAAGAACTGGAGAGGAAGAGCAGGGCTGCTGCAGCTGTGGCCGAGGATGCCCAGACAGACATCACAGGTAATCCTGGCTTTTGCATGGGCTCCATCTTCAATCACCCTTGCAGAGGTGGGGTCCTGGTATCCCCAGTCCTGCTGCCTGAGCAGAGAGGGGCTGACCCGTGCACACGTTGTACCCAACCACCGAGTCTCAGCATACCTCTTCCTCTCACCCTGTGCTGGTCCCCGAGGATCTGAGATGACATCCCCTGAGATATCATGACATGCCTCAAGGAGCACCCAGGAACCCTTGCAGTTCTGGATTAAGCCACTGGCCCACTGCTGTCAGCATAGAGCTGTATCTCACAGCTTTTAGTTGCAGCTGGGCTTGTTTTTCTCTTTGTCATATACATCTTCCTTGATCTCATCTTCATCTGTTACATACTGGGATTGCAAAGAGCTTAAATACCAGGTTGCTGTAGCTCGTGGTGGAATTGCCTGAGAGCATCTGCTCAGCAAGATTTGTTGGAGCCTGGATGTATTCATACAGGAAGGGACCACAATGGCTGTAGGCGCAGAACAGCAGTGCTATAGTAACCCAAAATGCTAGTTGCCTTCAGCAGCCCACATGCTCCCATGCCTGAGAGATGTAGGAGCTGGCTATCCAAGCATTCCCGGGCACTGGACAGCACATCCGAGCCGGCTGCTGGCAGGGGCAGCCACCTCCCCTGCCCCACAGCTCGCCCACGCTTGTGTAATGGGCATGAAAAAACCATGAGGGCTGTGCTCGCCTCGCGGGCAGTTGGGTCATTTGCTTTAACTCATCTTCAGGTTTGGCTCGCTTTAATTCTTAATCGCGTAAAAGCAAACCTGGGAATTGCTTTGTGGGAGCTCTGTCCATTTAGTGTTGCAATGAGGAGGCTAATTGGAGCTGTTTCCCAGCACTTCCAGGGCCCGTGTTAGCACGGTGCTCACTTGGCTTTTCTCCTCTTTGCCTTGTGTTGGGGCACCAGCCCCGCCTGGCCAGAGGTGCCCCAAAGCCCACTTGCTCTGACAGCTTCCTACAGTCCTTCTCCCTTGGCTTTGGAGAGGGGTGGCAGGACCCACGGGAGCAAAAGCAGCTTGAGGGTGGTGCTTTCATAGCTGCGTCTGCCCTGCTCAGGGGGTGCATGATCCCCCCAGCACTGCCAGGGGTGCTGAGAGCAGCCACTGCCCTGTGCCCTGGCGCTCTCGGTGCTTTCCCTGGGGTGCCACTGCCAACATGCCCACGGTGGGGGAGTCCTCTGCCCTGCTGGAAGAAGGGCTAGGAAGGTCTTCCCAGTTTTAGAAGGCAAATGACATTGGACTTTCTCACTCTGGGCCAGGCTCTCCAGCAGCAGCCCTGGGCCAGCTCCTCCACCACCCCTTCCCTTCCAGGCATGTAGATGAACTTTTGTCAGTGCAATCTGATGCAGTGCCATCTGCTGAGTCTGCAGAAAACCAACTTAAAATAATAATAACTGTGAGGTTGGCCCTGCCTGCGAGACTAAAGAGTTGGGCTTGGATGTTGCACTGCGATTGTCTCTGCTGGGCACCGTGGCAGAACCACAAGTGATGGGGTGTCATATCCTTGCTCTGGCTGAGGATGTAGCAAGCCTATGGGTGGCTTGTGCAGCTCCTGCCTGAGGGCTTTGGTGATCCCATGAAGATTACACCTTATGGAATGAGACTGGTCCTCCCTTCCTAACAATTTTATGTGCTGGGATCTGTGCAATCACATCTGAGTTGGAGAAAAAGAAACTTCTTTTCCCATCCTTTTTTCTTTATTCCCTGGGCAGTCTCTCTAGAAGTAAGCTCCAGTTAGTCACTTCAACATGAATGATGGACATGAGATCTTGATGACCCAGCAGATCCCAGGATGTCTATGACAGTTTTCAAACTTTCTTCTGCCAACTGGAGGTTGGGCACAGCAATGTCCCCATCTGTCTGTCAGCATGATCTCTGCTCAACCCCAGGTGCTTGTATTTGGGTTATTTCTTGATACTTCTCAGATTTTAGTAGATGTTTCAAGTGATCCTTCTCTGCTGCAGGCTCAGAAAGTGCTCCTGGGACAGTGGGGGTAGGTGGCGGTCCCTGATGGTGTCTGTCAGCTCCTCTGGCTATGCCTGAGCTGCACAAATCCAGGTGTAGGGCTTTAATACCCAGTTGCCTCAATGGATAAGTGGAGACTGGGAAGGTTCTGAGCCCCATTTCCTCTCCCAGAGGCAGCTGAGGCTGCTCTATGCACAGAAGCTTTGGGCTGTCTGTCCTGCTGTGGCAACAGAAGAAGCCTCCTCTTTCCCCCTCCCAAAACACTGAGATAAGGACACTGAGTGTGATTTCAGCATGGACATCACGTAGAGTAACGCTCTGTGTGAACACACCACTGGTTGGTCACAGCTCAAGAAACTCCCCACCAGCAGCTGGATTATGCTTTCTTTGAATTAAAGACTTGAGAAGTTCCAAGTGGAAGGTGTTGCCATTTCTCCTCACCTGTCATTGTGGATGGTGCCAGACGATACCAGGCGACTTGGAAAGTGTAAGAAAAGCTTGGATTTTTTTTCTCCAGCCTCTTGACCTTGGAGCAATCTCTCCATTTAGGCTGTCATCTGCTGTCCTTTCTCCTGATCTCACCCTGTGAGGTGCTGTGTGCCTGTGGCTGCAAGCAAAGCAAGTGGCAACAAAGGCTGTGGGGCATGGTCCAGGGTCTCTGCACAGAGCAGGGCGCCAGCAGCTCTGCTGAGCACGGACACACTCAACACACAAGGAAGGGGCTGGGGGCTGTGGCTGCCTCTGCAGCAATTCCGTCCCTTCTTCGCCGTCCTCAGGGTCATTGGAAAGACGGGAAGCATTTTAGGAAGGCGGCTGATGGGTCTCCAGGGGGCCAGTGTCAATCACCATCAGTTGTTTTGTACTTAATTGTTTTCTGGGGCTTTGGCTGCCGGCTCCCTCCCAGCAGTGTGACCCTGCTGCTGCGCGTGGAAGGTGAAAGCAAACAAAAGCCTCTCCACACGGGCTGCTGGCATGAACACAGATGGCTCCCGAGCATGTGGCTCTGCCCAGAATCTCAGGTGCTCATTTTCCTGGAGCAGAGTCTGTCCCACAGCATTCAGGTGCAACTGATAGCATCACACACTGAGCTCCAGTGCCACAGAGGAGCAACTTTCCTGGTGTGTTCTGCCTCATCCTTGCTTGCTTTCATCCTTCAAAGAGTCCTGCCTGTTCCTACCTGCCTCTACATCCTGGGAAGGGCCCCAGTCCCTCTCCTGGTGGCTTGTGTGCGAACTTCAGCAGTCATGGACGAGCTGTGCCCCTGGCAGCACACTGTATTTAGAGGTGATGAATATTTGATTGAATGAGGGGCAGGAAAGGGCCCAGGAGCACCAGGAGTGGAGTGGAGCACTGCTCAGGCATCAGTGTTGCACAGGGGTGGTGCAGGAGGAGAGCCTTCCCTCATTCTGGATTTGGGAATGTCAATACCTGGTGTGGCACAGGGATGTCTGTGAGCCAGCTCCTCACCAGTCTCGTTGGCAGTGTGGGGTGAGTGGCTCCCGTTGTACTCATCCCTGGCCTCTTGGAGTTGGCTGCTTGATGTCCCTTCTTCCTAGGTGGCACTGGCTTTTGGGGGACTCCTCATCACCCTATCATGGCTTCACCCCGGGCTGTGCCTCTGTTTCCCAAATACAAACTTTTGGGTCCCATGTCCCTGCTGAGTGAGGGTGCAGCGGGATGGCTATGCCATCCTTGAGGGAGCAAGGTCAAGGGCAGGTTTCAGCAGAGGATGGCTGCTACCCTGCAGTGTGCCAGGGGGAAAAGCCATGCTGGATCAGGGTGTTGGACTGGTGTAAGGACCAGCCTTGGGAAGGTGGATGCAAGGAATGGGCAGTGGGTCAGGGGAGAACCAAACAAGGTGTGTGGGGATGGATGGACCAGTGGGTGTAACAGCTGCTGGAAGTGAGTGCCTGTGAGATGAGAGCTGTATCCCTGCTTGCCCTCGCACTGCCTTCCTGGCCTCCCTGCTAGGACAGCTGGGTGTTCCTGCCACATTCCCAAGTCAGAGCTGACCCCAATGGTCCCTGGCAGCAGCAGCTCTGTTGCCCTGCCCACCCCAGACATTTATCCTGGCCAGGCTGAGTGGCCATGCCAGAGCCAGCCTTTTCCTGTGCAGAGGAGAGCAAGGCTGCTGAAACGGGCAAATTTGCCAGCTGAGGCTGCTCGAACATGATCAGAAGTGACAGAGCAGTGACAAAGTGCCTGGCTGAAGGGAAACAGGGCTCGATTTATTGTTGCCCTTGGAGCTAGGGAGAGGAAGGTGGCTATGAGAGTGAGGACAGCAGTGCTTTCCCACAGTGGTGGCTTGGAGCAGTGTGTAGGTCAGCTTCATCCCTGTCTTCTTCTTCTTCTTCCTGACCTGCTGCTCTGCTCCTCAGGAGCTTCTTTGCTTCGTGTCATGGGGTTATATGACGGCTTCTGAGCCAAAATGTTCCCTGGGGTGCCAGGGGAGAGGTGCTGAGCAGGAAGGGCACTGCTTGGGGGGTTGGTGTCACTCTGTCCCCTGGGGTCTTAGAGGGACACATATGACATGATCTGTCATGGCCACATATGACATGATCTGTCACGAAGCCATGGTGGGAATGCGTCCATGTCACTTCAGGCCACCAATTTGGCCAAATCAGATTGTTTCTTCTTTTCAGATCACCACTAAAGACTTTGCAAACCCTAATTTGTCTTCAAGGCTCAGGGTCTGCACACTCCCCTTCATCCTCCTCAGCTCTTGATCTTTCCAGAGGCTCCCTGCTGACCCACTGCCCTGCTGAGGTCCTGTCAGGTGGGACAGCATCTCCCACCTTCCTGCTGCCCACTCAGTGGCTGCTGTCCCCTTCAGCGAGCGCCTCGCTGCAGCGTGCAGAACATCCTTTTTAACTTAGGGTAAATGTAGTTTCCATGTCGAGGTGCTCCCTGACACTGCAGCAAAGGCGGTGTGTGTTAGTGGGCAGTGGTTTTTTAACTCCTTTCCATGGGAGGGGTCACCTGGCATTGCCTGGGGAGGGGCCGAGGGCTCGGTTTGTGCCAGCTGCCAAAAGGGTTGCCAGGGTGAGAGGGTGGGGGTTTAGGTTCCTTTCCAGGATGAAGCCAATATGCCACCCAGGTGGGATGAAGCAGTGGGTGCTCTGTGTCTGTGGATCTTTTCTGGCTACCCCTCATCCTGCTGCCACTGCTGGGTCCTCTCGGAACAGCCGTCACTCAGCCGGCAGGACCGTGGGATGATGCTGCTCAGGAGGCAGAGGACTGCCATTTACAAGCAGTTCTGCTGGCAGCTGCCCAGGCTGGGAAGAAAAACAGCACAGAAAAAGGATTTAAGGATGTTTGGAAGGAAAGTTCCCTCCTTGATGAATCTCCTTCAGGAGATCAGTGGCTGCCACACAACTGCAGGAGAGCAAGCAGCCCAGCCTTGGGCACCTGGCTGCAGGAGCTGTAGGAGGCTGGAAATGCCTGTGGAACCCAAGGCAGCCCCATGCCAGCAGCTGAGGATGGAGCTGCACCAGAAGGAGACAATGTGGAGAAGAGGGCTCTCCTCTCCCACCTAGGATGGTGATGGCTGCAAAGAGACTCCTATTTGCCACTTCCCAGCCCTGCTGGTGGCAAGCCCAGTCCTCCATGAGTGCTGCTGCTGAGTGGTGCTCCTCATGATTTCCCTCCTGGTGCATGATCCTCAGCAGGGGTGTTCAGTCCAGCATGGATGGAGGTGCTGGAACGTGACAGAACCTGGCACTCACTTCCTGCTGATACAAGGCAGGCAGGAGGAGATAGAGCAGGGAGGGCCGTGATGAAAGAGCCTGCCCAGCGTTTGCAGACATCATAATTAACGATGTGGATCTGTGATGACATAATTAACCACGTGGATCTGTGATGTCATAATTAACAAAAATTAATGTTTAACAGGAAGATTTTGTCTCCTGGCTGGTTGCTCTGGCAACAGCATCAAGCTGCTGGCCTCAATCTGACACATTCCTCTCCTTGTCGACTCCTTAATTGTATTGTCGATAGAGCTAATGAGGCAGGGATGTGGGGAGGAGGAGGTGAGCAAAGGGGTCCACCTGGGCAGGTAGAGCAGCCCCTGGGGGCCTGGTCATGAGATGGGGTGTGGCTGGCAGCCAGGTCATGTGGAGAAGCACAGAATGAGCTGGGAAGGCTCCCCCTATGCTCTGGGACCCTGAGACCTGCCTGCTGCTCCCCTGCCTATCTTCACACTGCTGCCAGAGCTGCCGGCTGTGGGGGAGCCATGGAGGGAGTGGGAGCAGGCCGTCAGGTGCTGAGGGCACCAGGATGCCCTGGCATGAGGCTGGACATATATACCTGCTTCTGACAGCAGAACATCTGAGGATTTGCACTTGTGCCCTTGGCTGCAAAAATGCTGCGGCTCCACATCACCCTGACAGCCACAGTGTCCTTCCTGCTCTTTGTCTCATTCCTGATGCCATGCCAGAGACAAGTATTCTCCCTAAGGAAGGGCTTGGCAGGTCCTTGTTATGTGCCCAGGGGGCAGCTGTGGGGCCATGGTGTGACAAGGAGGTCAGGGTAGGGCTGGAAGTTGGTGCTTGTTCGTCCTGACTTGGGGGTTCCTGATTTCAGGGAGCAGTTTGAGCTCAGCCCATTCTTGACCCGGTCACATCTCAAAGGCATAGGAGGTGACAGGAGGTAGGAGCTGGTCTCCACTGTGGCCCAAAAGCTGTGGCCCCCATCCCCATTGCCTCCTTCCCACAGCATTCACTCTTTCCCACTCTCTCTCCATCCCAGGTGTCGACACCATGAGTGAGACGAGCTCCATCAGCGTGGAGGCCACAACTGACAGCAGAGACACCTCGGTGGCCACCTCCATCCTGCTGCCCCTGCCGGGCAGCCGTGGGCGGGAGGAGGCGGACACCCGCAGCGAGCACAGCTACAGCGAGTCGGGAGCCAGCGGCTCCTCCTTCGAGGAGCTGGACCTGGAGGCTGCCGGGGACGGGGAGGGAGCCCCAGGGCTGCTGCCTGACGCGGGCTACGGCAGCCAGGAGGTCACAGACAAGTGGACCAAGGAGCCCACTGCTGCCGAGAGAGGAGAGGAGTGAAGAGACCTGGCTGCCTCACCTCCCACCGGGGTCTGAGTTACTGGGAACCAGTTGCCTTTCCCGCCTCCTTCCTCTCCAGCCAAGAGATTTTGGTCGCCGATTCCCCCCGGGACCTGCTCTCCCTCTTTGCAGAAAGGGTGTTTGACCGTTTTTGGGGGTGCTGGGAGGTGGGGGGGATCTCTGTGGTGCTTGGTGGCTCAGGGTTAGGTACAGGCTGGGGGGACAGCAAGGTGCATTTGCTGTGTGTGTGTGTCCAGGCAAATGGCAGATTCCTTGCAGGTGTCTGGAGGATGGTGGTGGATGTCAGAGAGGTCCCCCCTCATCTCTGCTGGTGCCCCTCTCACCCACAGCTTCTCTCTGCTGCACCACCACATTTTCTAGCACCAAAGAGCTGTGAGTTGGGTCAGATGGGTTTGTTCCCCTCTTCTCTTCCCCTTGCTGAACAATGGAAACATCCTGTGTAAATGTGGTCCTCCTGGCACTGCCACGGGCGCTTTGGGGTCTGTAATAAAGTGGATGCTTTTCCTCACTGGTGGCTGGTGCACGCTGACTTGTCCTTTGGCCAATTTTGCCATCCTGTGCCGTGGTGGGGAGTGGGCTGTGGATGGGAGCTGCCCCCATGGCCCTCGACTGAGCCAAAGAGCTGCCAGAGGCTCTGCATCCCTGCTGCTCAGGCTTTCTTCCTGCTTGGGCAACCCAGCAGGGCACAGGGTCTGTCCCCAGTTTGTGCAAGCTGCAGGGGAAGTGGGGAAGGGTCCCAGCTGCTGTGCTGAGCTGGAGGGAGGTGGCATCTCCCTCCTGGGAACCTCTGGAGAGTAAAACCAGTGTAAAGCCAGATATAAAACTGCTGCTGGGCCTCCTGTGGCAGGGGACACCAGACTGCCTGCACTGTGCCTTCCTGACATCCCATCTGCTGTCCTGCTGCTGTGGAATGCAGGCAGGGAGGGCTGCCTGTGGTGGTCCCAGTTTCCTGTCTCATTTTGGGACAGGGGAGCAGCCTGGGCATCATGGCCATGGTGCCACGAGGCAATGCCAGGTGCCAGAGCGCCTGCTGAGTGCTCTTGGTGCCTCCAGCAGCCCAGGGATTTTTTTTTTCCTGGTGGTCAAATGTGGCAGCCCAAAACTGGGACTGGGGTGGGGGTGCCAGGAGCAGGGGAGGTCTGACTGTCTCTGCATGGTGGGAATGTGTCCTCCCTGGCTTGGAAAGGTCATGATTAGTCCTCAGCCAGTGATTGACATGAGATTGTTCATAAATATTTTGTGCTCTGAGTGATAAAATATTAAACTCCTCCAGCCCACATGGAAAAATATTGCTCTTCCCGGTGTTTATCTTTGTTGCTGGTTATTACAAAACTGCCAAGCCCCCTGAAATATTTATGCTTGGCTGAGGCTCCCGGGGGATTGGAGCCAGGCAGTGGGTACTAACAGTACTTGTCCCCTAACCCCACTGAAGCTGGGCACCAGGGGGCTTTGCCGTCATTCTGCTGCTCTCGGCAGGGCTGGAGCAGCAGCCGGGACGATGCAGCCAGTGCCGAGGTGTGTGTGAGGCTGGAGCCAGGACCCATCTGCTGGGGGGAAGCGGGACCACGGCAGTGCCAGCGTCCCTTGGCACAACACCTCCCGTCCTCATCATCCCTGTGCACCCCGGCCCGCAGTGGTGAGGTCCCTCAGCCCAGGCACCCAGTGTCCCACTCTGTCTGTGCCAACAGTCCTGAAAAGAGTGGGGCCGTGGGGTCTGGGGTCCTGCTGCTGTGGGACTCCAGGGGGGACCTTGCCACGGACGTTCCGAGTTACCCCTCCCCAAACCAGGATTGCCGAGGGGAAGGGAGTGCAGCAGAGTGCCCGACTCACTGCAGTGCCCTCAACCCGCAGCCTGCAAGTGCAGAAGCTGGCAGAGGGGAAACTGAGGCACACGGTGGTGAGGTGGTTACTCGAGGCAGTGCCCCAGAAGCTCCCTTGTCCCCTGTGTCATCCCCTGTCCTGTTCTTGTCTTGGAGTGATCGAGCTCTGGGGGTGCAGCACCACGGGATCCTGGGCAGCCGAATGGCTCTGGGAAGAGTTTGGGCAGTTGGTGGAGATCTGGAACACAGCCCTGCCGGTGCCTCCGTTTTTGTATGGTCCAGAACCTTCCCCAGCTGGGTGTTTGGGCTGCCGGTGAATGCTGGGGCTGTGTGGAATGCAGGTGGGCAGTGGGGGAATGCCGGACACCTGAACTCCTCCCAAGGACTTGGGGAGCAGGGGGCAGGCCAGGCAAGGGGGGAACAAGCACCAGGGCATCAGCCTGTGGCTGCGGGCCTTCATCTGGGGCTGGGAATGAGCTGGGGGCTCTGGCCAGGGGCGCGGGTGCTGAGCTGTGCCCTGCCAGGTCTGCCAGGGCTCAGAGCAGGTCCTGCCTGCTCTGGCTCTGTCCTGCCTCTGCCCAGCCTGCATCTGACCATTCCCTGTTTGCATCTAGCCATGCCTTCTCTGTGTCCTGCCTGGATCTAGCTGTGTCCTGCCTTCTCTGGCCATGTCCTGCTTGCATCCTGACGGTGCTCTGGCTCAGTCTGGCCATCCCTTGCCTGGATCTGGCTGTGTCTTGCCTGTGTTCTGCCTTCTCTGTCCATGTCCTGTCCATTCCTGCCTTCCCAGCCCGTGTCCTGCCCGGACCGGGCCATCTGCCCCCGGCTTTGCCCCAGCCCGGGAGTGCCCTGCCCCGCTCAGCCGGTGCCGGGGCAGTCGGGGCGGCCCGGGGGGTGCCGCTGCCCACCGGACCGGACCGGGGCGGGGGCCGGGGCCGGGCCGGGCTGGGGGCGGAGCGGCTCCGCTCTGCTGGGGCTGGCGGAGTGTCAGAGGCGGCGGCGGGAGGCGGTGGCAGCCGCAGCTCCGAGACAGCGGCGGCACCGGCACCGGCACCGGCTCCGGGCACAGTCCGCCGGGCCCAGGTAAGGGCTGCGGTCCCACCCGGCGCTCCCATCGCCGTGACCTCGCTTCGCGCCGTGCCCCGGCGGTGCGTCTCCCTCCCCAGAGCCCCGGTACCGGCGGTGGACCGGCGATACCCCGCAGCCGTCGGGGCCGCGCCGCGGCGGGGTTCGGAGCCCGGTGCCCGGTGCCGGGGCTCCCGAAGCTGCGGGACGGGAGCAGGGCACGGGCACGGGCACCGGCACCGGCACAGGAGGGGCCGGGGGTGCGGGCGGTCCGGGTGGCACCGGGGCTGCTCCCGCCGCTCACCCTTGCCCGGCACAAGACGCGGGGCTCCGGGAGAACGGCTTGGGGGGTTCTCGTCCCCCCGGTGATCCGACAGCCCCGAGCCCCGCAGCGGGCACTCCGCAGGATCCGCCACCGCAGCCCCGGCCGGGACCGCCCGCCGGCACCGGGGCAGAGAAGCGGGGTCACCGCCCGGGCCGGCGGGGACAGAGCCCGGTCCCTGGGTCTTCCGCCCGGCTTTGGGGGGCTGTGAGTTTGCCAGGGCAGCCGGATCTCGGGGCGCCTTCGGGTCGGGGTGCGGGGCGGCCGCGGGGGCGCCGGGGGAGCGCCCCGGGCAGGCGGCTCGGCCCCACGGGGTGTGGGGGGTGTGGGGCTGGCAGCCCTTGTGCGGGGACAGCTGGGGGCTCCTGGCTGAGCTCGGTGGCGGTGGGACTCCGGGACCTGCGCGGGAGGTGGCACCGTCCCTGTGCCCGCAGCACTGCCGCTCCCGCACACGGCCCGGGTGTCACAGCCCCCGGGATGCTGGTGCGGAGGGGTCAGGGCTCCTGGCAGGGGTGGGGAGCGCCCCGAGCACGGAGGAGTCCCGGCCCCTTCTCACCCACCCCACTCGCCACGCCAGGAGCGGCTGCCGCAGCTGGCAGGAGCTCCCCGCCGTACCGGGGCCGTCGGGCTGCACTCGGCTCTGCCCTGCCCGGTGCTTCACTTCCCCGGACGTTCTCCGGAGGTTCCCGCGGGCTGTCATCTCCCCAGCGCTGAACCAGCCGAGCTGAGCAGCTGTAGGCATGGTGGGAGCCCTGCTCGCTGTCCAGCGGGGCTCGCTGCTGGCTGCGTGCTGGTTTGCCCTTCAGAGGGGCTGGGCCTGAAGGTGCCTTTTATCTGCTGGGTTCTGTCACCCACCCCAAAAGACCTGCACCACAGAGACCTGGGCTCCCAGTGCCACCGGACCCCTGGCCAGGCTCAGCCTGCCACTGATGGGCTCCAGCAATAATCCATGTGCCTGTGGCCTCTTCCCAGCTTGAGGAAACCCCAGGTCCCTTAGAAGCATTTATTCCTGAAATAAGGCAGGGACCCTTCCCTCTCTCAACTCCAAAGTCCTGCACACTGGGGGGTCAGGTAGGAGATGCCCTGAGACAGATGGGAACTTAGCAGCAGCAGACAGCACCTGAGAGCAGGCATTTAGGGGCATGGAGGAAGAGGAGGAGGTCTGCATGTGTCTCCTCACCCCACCCTGTTATGCTCTGTGCCACACTGCTGCCTGCAGCCCCCTGGGCATCACTGCCAGCTCTGGCTGCTTGCTGGAGGGCTCCTCCAGCACAGCCATCACCTCTCTGGGAACAGCATGGGGGCATCAAGGGGTCCCCTCCTCCTGCTCAGGGGCAGCAGCCTCAGTATGAGCTGCAGGGAACTGCAGGGGGGGCAGCACTCTCTGGCATCCCCCTCCCACCCTCTGTGCCCCCACAAGCACTGCTGGGCTGTGGATGGGGCCATGGTCCGGTCACAGCATCAGCAGCTTCCCGTTCCAGAGCAGCCTGAGGCTTTTGGACTGCCAAGGGGTCTCCTTCTCCCATGGTCCCTGAAATGCCAGCCCCGTGGGATTTCAGCAGTCAGCTTCAAATGGGAAACAAATCTCTCCCGTGGTTTGGGAAAAGACAACCAGTCTCGGAGGGGACTGTATCTTCTGCCAAAACAAGGCCTGCCTGCTGCAAAGCCTTTGATTCCCCCGCGCCTCCGTGCTTTCTGCAGAGGGAGTCAGCAAACCTGGCTCTTACTTTTACTGAAATCTCTGAATTTAGTATACAGGGAAGGAAGGGGCGGTGGTGAGAGAACAGACTCTGAAGCACCGCGGCTGCCAGAACCCTGCGTGTTGCTTCGTGAGGGTGAAGCCAGTGGCGAGTCCCTGCTCCAGCCCCGGTGCCATGGACAGCCCTGGGGGCAGCAGCCAGGTGCTGGGCTCCATGGCTATGGGATGGAGAATAAAGTACTGTGGGCACTGGGTGCTGTGGGCACAGTGGGCTCATGGCTGGAGGTTGGGGTCTGTCAGCACCCCTGATGCTGTTGTGTGGGTCGGGGGCTCAGCTTGGCTCTATCTGCCCAGCCTGGCCTCTCTATGCCAGGTGACATCCCTGGCTCTTTCCCCCTCCACGATACTTTAAAGCTGTCAAGCTGTCCCCCTGCAGGCTGTTCTGGCCGATGCTGCCAGAGGGGCCAGCTCTGTGCCCACCCCCATGCCAGCGTGTCCCTGGGAGTGCTGTGGGGTGGCTGGTCCCTGTGCCCTTCCGTGTGCCCTGGGATCTGTGTCACCTGTGTGTGTCCTGGGAGTTCTGGGTCACTGTGGGAGCTATTGCATCTGTTCATCTTGCCTTTCTGCAGGGAATTTCTTCCTAAGGGCATCCCGTGTGGGGGGCACAGGCAGGGTCATGGCCTGGCTCTCCCATGCAGCCCTGACTGCCCCTGTCCCTGTCATGCCTGGCATCCCACAGACACAGTGGCTTTTCCCTTTGCTTTTCCAGGTGCCGAGGGCTCTGCTGGGGTGACACCACCTCTCTCCCACCGACACCACGCCGTGCCACCCCTCACCACCCAATGCCTGGGGACTGCCTGCCCTCACCTTGACGGGTGGCAGCGGGTGACACGGGGTGGTGTGGGTCCCCCAGCCAGCAGCAGCACACCCCATGGCGGTGCCCTTGGCCGCCTGGCTGGGGCTGATGCACCTGGCCACCTGTCTGGCAGCTGGGCACGGCATGGCTGGCAAGAAGGAGATCAGCATGGATGGGGACCTGGTGATTGGGGGCCTCTTTCCCGTCCATGAGAAAGGAGTGGGGAGCGAAGACTGCGGCAAGATAAACGAGCACCGGGGCATCCAGCGCCTGGAGGCCATGCTCTTCGCCCTGGACGAGATCAACAAGGACGGGAGCATCCTGCCAGGGGTGAAGCTGGGTGCTCACATCCTCGACACCTGTTCCAAGGACACCTATGCCCTAGAGCAGTCCCTTGACTTCGTCCGTGCCTCCCTTACCAGGGTGGATGGTTCTGAGCACATCTGCCCCGATGGCTCCTACGCCGTCCACGATGATGTTCCCACTGCCATCACCGGCGTCATCGGGGGCTCCTACAGTGACGTTTCCATCCAGGTACCTCCCAGGCAAGAGGGGCTCGGATGGGGCTGGGGGCTTGAAGTGGGGGAGGGGGATAAAAACCTTGGCATTAGTGCAGTGATGCCACTGCCAGTGTGGCACAGGGAAACTCACACATCCCTCATGGTGATGCTCTGCCCCTCTCTCCAGTGGGGAGGGAAGGCACCTGAACAAGCCATGTCTCTGTGATTGTGGGGGATGTGCCCGGGGTCCCCTTGGGGGCAGCATGAGTGCCCCAAACCTCCATTAGCTGTAGGAGCCAAGCCTCACATGGGGACAGGTGTTGATTCCTCTCCTGAGTTCAAGGTGGCAAGTGCAGCTCCTGCTGTACCAGGCAGAGCAGAGCAGTGTGAGGGGGCACTGTCCCCCTTTCCGCACCAAAGGGCAACCCATGAGGTGCTCCTCTGAGGGGATCAGCCATAGGGCTGCCTGGCTAAGGCAGGGTGAGCTCAGAGGACAAGTGCCCCCGTGTCCCCAGTGATCCCACCGGAACAGGCACCTCAAGCTTCACACCTGGCTGTGACCCTGGGTGGGGTGCATCTCAGTCCCCCAAAACCACAGCTCTGTGGACTTGGAGGTTGGTTTCAGCAGGGAGAAGAGCATCCCCTGAGGATGCAGGACTCAGCAGGACCAGCTGAGTCACAGGGGTGGCCGCTGGGCCACATGCTTGCTGAGATTTAATGAGTCCCCAGCGGGTGCCAGACTGTGTGTCCTGGTCCCTGGGGTCCCTGCATCCCCCAGCTATGGGGTAGAAGAAGCTGGGACTGCGTGATGGAGACAGCATCCCAGCCCACCTGGGCACTTGTCCCTTCACCTGCTGGGAACCCAGCACGTCCCTGTGTCCCAACCTTGGGCAGACAGGTGTCAGCAGGGGCAGAATGTGGGCCAGCTGAGGAGTTCGAGGGGCACTGGAGGGACATGGCAGGCTGGCAGCTCCCATGCATGGTGAGGACAGGCAGCAGCATCACTGCACTCGGGGACATTCTTGCCATTAGGGGAATTTGTCGTCAAGATCATTTGTCCACGTTAATTAAGCCACATCTCCTGCCTGGGGAGCAGTGAGATGTGGGCAGGCTTGGCAGCCCTGCTGGCACACCCGAGGCCCCTTGCTGCCCCCAGAGCCTAGATTTTAACAGCCTCATTAGTGGGGCTTTTTTCCCCTTTGAAGCTAACGAGGGATTCTGCTGAGTGGCTGGAAGGTGCCGGTCCCAGTGAGTTCCTGATGTGGGATGCGCAGGCGCCAGTCCCCTGACCCAGTTCTGCAGCATCCCCCAGCCTGGTGGGGGGACTCTGCCCCGGCTCCCAGCCCCTAGAATCCTTTCCCTCTGTGCTGTAGGGCTGCCAGGCATCCTGGCTTTCTCCTTGCTGTCAAACATCTCCCACAGGTCACCTATGGCAGACTTTCTGCTTTTGTCCCCTCCCCAGCCCCGAATTTTGGAATGGAATGCTTGAAACACCAAAAAAATAAAAAAAATAAAGATAAACTAGCATGTCTGAGGGCTCAGTCCCTCTGTAAATGTGCCATCCATTCTTCTCCAGACCTTCCATAGATCAGGATGCTCTGGGTTGGGTTGCTCCTCAACTCAATGGTTGTGTTTGGGAGCATCGTGCAACACTGGGTATTGGGCAGGGTCCCCCCATAGGAATGTCCCTTGCTGGCCACCCCTTCAGGCACTCACCTCTCCTCCTCCATGCAGGTGGCCAACCTGCTGCGGCTCTTCCAGATCCCACAGATCAGCTATGCCTCCACCAGTGCCAAGCTCAGTGACAAGTCCCGCTATGACTACTTTGCCCGCACTGTCCCTCCAGACTTCTACCAAGCCAAAGCCATGGCAGAGATCCTCCGCTTCTTCAACTGGACCTACGTCTCCACTGTGGCCTCAGAGGGAGACTACGGGGAGACGGGGATCGAGGCCTTTGAGCAAGAAGCCCGCATGCGCAACATCTGCATCGCCACCTCGGAGAAGGTGGGGCGCTCCATGAACAAGAAGACCTACGATGGAGTGGTGCGGGCTCTGCTGCAGAAGCCCAATGCCAGAGTGGTCGTGCTATTCACCCGAAGTGAAGATGCCCGGGAGCTGCTGGCAGCTGCTCAGAGAGCCAACGTGTCCTTCATGTGGGTGGCCAGCGATGGGTGGGGAGCCCTGGAGAGCGTGGTGGCCGGGAGCGAAGCAGTGGCGGAGGGAGCCATCACCATAGAACTGGCAGCCTATCCCATTAAGGAGTTTGCTTCCTACTTCCGTAACCTCCACCCTTACAATAACAGCCGAAATCCCTGGTTCCGGGAGTTTTGGGAGCAGAAGTTTAGATGCAGCTTCCACACACAGGACTGTAGTCGGTACTCCCTCAAGACAGGCAAGTTTGAGCCAGAGTCCAAGATCACATTTGTGATCAATGCAGTCTATGCCATGGCTCACTCTCTTCACAACATGCACCGGACATTGTGCCCCAACTCCACCAAGCTCTGTGATGCCATGAAGCCTGTCAATGGCAAGAGGTTTTACAAGGACTTTATACTCAATGTTAATTTTGATGGTGAGTCCAAAGTGGAGATGGGATTTGGCTGCCAAACTGGAAAGGGATGGGTGGAGGATAGGAAAGAAGGAGGTCTAGATTTGATCCAAAACCTTCCAATTCCTCCAGCCTGCCCATGCCCAGGGCTGTGGTTGTCCTGAGGTGCCAACAGCCCACCATCATCCCTGGGAGGAAATCCAGGCCTTCTGTCCCCAGTGGAAACATGTGGAGAAGCTGGCCACCAACTCCATTCTGCTACAACTAGCCCCACCCAGCCCCAGGGACCCTCAAGAACATGAGTCTTTGCAACCATCATGATTTATTCACATTTCAGGGATTAAACTGGAGGGATACCCTTGATCAGGGACCCATGTAGTGTGGGGTGAATTAGAAGCATGTCCTCTGTGACTTGGGCTGAGGGTGTCTTGACTACAGAAGTCACTGAGAGCCACGGAGGCTGCACAACTGCCCTCTGCCATTGCAGAGCAGGCTGAGGCTGACAGGCTCTCAGGCAGGTGGGTAGTTCCCCACCTTTGCTTTCCTGCTCCTAACACGTGCATAGGCAGCAAGGATGGGAGTTTGAAGGCAGGAAATAGGTTGGACATTTGCCTGTGGCCATGGTGGGATGTGACTCTTTGGATGAGCCCTGCCTCGAGGCTTGGAGTGAGTGTTCTCCTGCCCTGAGGCAGTGACTGTCTCCCCTTCTCCTCCCTGCAGCTCCATTCAGGCCAGCGGACACGGAGAGCGTTGTTCGATTTGACCGCTACGGCGATGGGATCGGGCGCTACAACATCTTCAACTACCACTACGTGGACGGGCGGTATCGGTACCAGAAAGTGGGCTACTGGGCAGAGGGGCTCATGCTTGACACCAGCCTCATCCCCTGGGCTGAGACCTCCATTCCCGTGTCCCAGTGCAGCGACCCCTGCAAGAAAAATGAGATCAAGAGCATGCAGCCCGGAGACATTTGCTGCTGGATCTGCATTCCCTGCCAGCCCTACGAGTACCTGCTGGATGAGTTCACCTGCATGGACTGTGGTCTTGGTTACTGGCCCAACGAGACCCTGAATGGCTGCTACGAGCTGCCCCAAGAGTACATCCGCTGGAAAGATGTCTGGGCCATTGGTCCCGTCACTATCTCTTGCCTGGGTTTTATCTCCACCCTCTTCGTTATCGGAGTCTTTGTGAAGAACAACGACACTCCCATCGTGAAGGCCTCTGGACGAGAGCTGTGCTACATTCTGCTGACCGGGGTGCTCATGTGCTACAGCATGACCTTCATCTTCATCGCAAAGCCCTCCACCGGGGTGTGCACGCTGCGGCGCCTGGGGCTGGGCACGTCCTTCGCCGTCTGTTACTCGGCCCTCTTGACCAAGACAAATCGGATTGCCAGGATCTTCAGTGGGGTGAAGGAGGGGGTCCAGCGCCCCCGCTTCATAAGCCCAACGTCACAGGTGGTCATCTGCATGGCCCTCATCTCTTGCCAGCTGATCATCGTCATCATCTGGCTGCTGGTGGAGACCCCTGGCACAGGCAAGGAGACTGAGCCTGACAAGAGGTACATTGTCACCCTCAAGTGCAACAACCGTGACTCAAACATGCTCATTTCGCTCACCTATAATGTCCTCTTGATTGTCCTCTGCACGGTCTACGCCTTCAAGACACGGAAATGTCCCGAAAACTTCAACGAGGCCAAGTTCATTGGGTTCACCATGTACACGACCTGCATCATCTGGCTGGCCTTCCTGCCCATCTTCTACGTGACCTCCAGCGACTACCGTGTAAGAGCTGGAGCTCTGAGGGGGCTCTGGCAGGGCTTGATCTAAGTGGTCCTGGAGATTTGGGCCATGCAGGGTCCATGATTAGGAGATGCATGGGCCTGGGGAAGGGTCTGCATCCACACACCTGGTGATGGTCACCTTTGCACTGGGTAATTCAGGAGCAGGTGAAGGGTCCTGAAGGACTGTGGCTGATGGGGCAATGAGTCCTGGAGAGAGAACCTGCCCCACTCCCTCCTTTGCTAGGATGAGGATGGGAAATGGCCCTGAGACCTCGAGATCCCCCATAGCTGTGACTATCATGGAGGAATGATAGTCATCCTTCAGTCTGGCGACACAGAAGGATGAACAGCCCCTGGCTCATTGAGACACCACACCCCAGGGAATGAATGCCAGCCACAGCGCCAGCCTGGTCCCTGGGCTGCCAAGCAGTGGCAGGAACTGGGTAGCATGGGGTGCATCCTGGCACGGACAATCAAACACATCCTTGATGGGGCTTGAGGAGCTGGTGGGGGCAGTTAGTCAGGGGCTTCCAGAGAGGACCTGCACCCCCAGCGAGAGTGAGCAGCGGGATGGGGGAGTGCAGGCTCTGGCCCCGGGCAGTGCCCCAAAGCAGCATGTTGGCAGGGTGGGGTGTTGCTTTGCAGGGGCAACTTGTCCCCACCAGGGCAGCGTCCATACTCTGCCCACGGGTCTGCTGCAGGACCACTCTGACAGAGGGATGTGGGGTGGGGTGGAATGTCCCTGCAGGGTGCAGCCTGCGCCCTGTGGGGCTGGCCAGTGCCACGGCACGGGCTTCATCCTGCCCTGCTTGGGGCAGAGGGCTGACAGGTGGAGCACCTGATGCCCACCCCTGTCTCCAGGTCCAGACCACCACCATGTGCATCTCGGTGAGCCTCAGCGGCACCGTGGTCCTCGGCTGCCTCTTCACCCCCAAGCTCCACATCATACTCTTCCAGCCGCAGAAGAACGTGGCCAGTCACCGCGTGGGCACCGCTCGGTTCAGTGTGGCAGCAGCCAGCTCCAGCCAGTCCCACGGTGAGCATGGTGGGGCTGGGGAAGGGCTGGGGACAGCACCCCTTTCCTGCTGGGGAGTGTGTGTGTGGGCACCCCAGCACGGGCTCCCAAAGTGGGGCGTGGGGTAGGGCAACGTGGGAAATGGGGGGGAGTGGCAGATGTGTCCCCAGTAGCCCTTCCCTGTCCTGTGTCCCAGTGCCTCATCTCCCAGGGCAGCACAGCTGCCAGAGGGGTACTGCTCCTGGGGGTCCTCACTGCTCTGAGGGGACACTCTCCACCCCAACACAGGGGATTCAGCTGCCCCCACGTGCCTGTCACTACCTGAGGCACTCTCCCCTTTAGCTCCAGGGAATATGACCACCCTGGGCACCCGGGGGGGACCTGGCCATCCTCGGCACCCTCCACCCCAACTCGCTGGGCACACCACTGCCATGGGATGCTGGGTGGTGCTGCGGCCAGACCCCAACCCAGCCCTGACTGCTGCCTTCCTGTCCAGGCTCAGCCTCGCCATACGTGCCCACGGTGTGCAATGGCCGTGAGGTGGTGGATTCCACAACGTCATCCTTGTGAAGGACGGGGGGCCAGGCTGTGGTGCTGCCACACAGCACCCCCACTGCTTCCCCAGGGAGAGCAGTGCCCGCAGCACTGAGGTGCCAGGTGTAGCCGGGAGGCTCAGTCACTGCCCCAGCACGAGCTACACATCCCACATGTCGGGTCATGGTAGTGTCAGCCTTCCCTTGCACTGAGCCACCTTACATGTACCCTGTCCTCCACACCCTGCACCGAGCCATGGTGAACATCCCCCTCCCTGAGCTGAGCCACGGCGCACGTCCCCGGCCCTCGCACTGAGCCATGGCACGTCCCTCTGCGTCACCTGCACTGAGCCATCGTGCCCCCACAGCCCTGCACTGAGCCATGGTGAATGTCCCCCCACCCCCTGCACTGAGCCGTAGTGCACATGGCACGGACCTCGCACTGAGCTGGGGCACAAATACCCTCTCCTTGTCCCTTGCGCTGAGCCTGGTGCAGACCTGCCTGCACCGAGCCCCGGGGCAGATCCCTGCCCCTTGCCCCAGCCCCAGAGCACTACTCCACTCCCTCTCCAGCCACATCCCACCTCCTGCTTTTGGCTTGCACCAATCCACGCTGCACCTCCCACTCCCTCGCTGTGGTGCCACACAGTGCCCTCGCCCCAAAGCCCACCTCACCTTCCCAGCACGATGCCTTTCCCATCACCCCTGTGCCAAGCCTTGGACCACATCACCCTTTCCCTCCCTAGTGCTTTGCATTTTCACGTTTTCCTCCTGGTTTTGGCCTCAGGAGAGCCACTGAGCGTGGCTGGGCCGGGCCCAAGCCCCCACATTGCTTCCCTCACTGTGTGTGGCACCTTTCATCCCTTACTGGGACACAGGGCAGGAGTAGGGGCAGACAAATGCCCGCTGACCCCAACCCCTGCAGAGCCCAGGGGGTGTAGGAGGCTCAGGGCAAGCAACAGGATCCAGGTATTTGAGCCCAACCAAGTTTTTAAGAGTAGACTTTTTCTGTGAACAAAAGTGTGATTTTTTTTTTTTTTTTTGTAATTTATGTAAATAAAGTGGTTTTGGTGTTGTTTTTTTTTACAAAATGGATTGTTCCAGAGCTCAGGTACAGCCAAACCTGAGAGAAGGGAACAGACCCTCGCAGAGGGCAGAGCCACATCAACACATGGGGGCCAGCAGAATCAGGGGCCATGTGCCAACCCCCACTCATGTCCTGCTGACCAGTGGTGGCTGCACCAGGGATGGGAGGCACAGCTACAGGGACAGAATGACCTGCTCCAGTGGCTCCAGGGACAGAGGGCTAGGAGCTGCCAGGGGATTCAGGGCTGGAGGCTGCGGTCTTCTGCTTCAGGGGGATGATGCAGATACTGTTTTTGGCTTCTTTGATTCTCCACCACCGACCCAGCCTGTGGATGAGACAGGTGCAGAGGTCACTCTCCAACAAGATCCAGAGGATGGGGAAGCTGTACCCCCAAGCAGCATCAGGGAGAGGGGACAGTACCGGTGCTCCTGCCCAGTGCCAGCCACCAGGAAGTCACCAGCTGCTGAGAACTTGAGGCTGTTGACAAAACCCACCTGGCGGGGACAGGGCAGAGTAAAGGGACCGGGAAGGGTGAGGGGCTCCCATGGGCTTCTCCTGCTGCCCAAGAAGGGAGCCCCTGCTGAGAGACCCTCCAGCCCAGCTCCAGAATTCCCAGCCTGCCCATCCATCCATACCAAGGGAATGTCCAAGAGGTGCTCCAGCTTCCGAAATCCTTCGCCACACTTCCAGAGCTTCACACTGCCGCTGTGGGATCCTGGGGCACAGAGAGGAGCCTGTCACGCACCCCAGCCCAGGGATGGGAGCAGGAGGTATTTCCCCCACCGGCTGCCAAAAGCAGCTGCCACGCACCTGTGGCCAGGAGGTCGCTGTTGCGCAGGGCAGCCACGGCTGAGATCCAGTAGGGCTGCTGCAGGCCCTGGCTGTCCTGCTCTCCGTGCGCCTGCCGAGCCAGTGCCAGCGGCTTCTTCTTCGTCAGCCCCCACAGGGCTAAAGACCTGCGGGGGTGTGAGGGGTGAGGGGGCTGAGGGGGCATCCTGCCCACCCCAGGCACCATCCTGGCCCTGTGCTCACCCATCATCAGCACCAGACACCATGTGCTCCTCGTTGATGAGCTGGATACAGTCGATGGAGCCCCTGTGAAGAGAAGAGGCCAGCAGTTACCAGCGTGCTTTGGGATCCTGCAGGGCATCAGCATCCCCACGGTGCTCCTGGCACCCACACGGCACTGCCCCAGCTGGACACACTGCCCGCAGCCCCCTCCTCTGCCCCAAACCTACTGGTGCCCACAAAAGATGAGCTGTGATTCCTCAGGGATCTTCCAGAGCCGCACGGTGCCATCCCGCCCCCCCGCTGTCACGCAGCACTCCCGGCTCAGGCTGTCCAGCCCTGTGATGATGTCCTGGTGCCCGAACCTGCAGAAGGAGATGACAAAGAGCTGTGGCAAGCATGGCTCTCTGTCCCCTCACCTTCTCAGGGCTGCTGAGTACCCCTTGGACGGGTCAGTGGGATTTCCCCAGGTCTTACAGGGTCTCCACGTATGCGTTCTCAGCCACGTCCCAGACCTTGACGCAGCGGTCGTGGGAAGCGCTGTACAGCTGGTGTGTGCCCTTTCGGAAGGACAGGCCCTGGGGACACGTGGACAGACAGGGCACAGCAGTGAGGGATACCGAGCTGGCCCCACAAGCACTGCGCCCAATGCCCCCAACTCACTGAGACGGCGTCGCGGTGCCCTCTGAAGATGTGCAGGCGCTTGCAGGTGGCTGCATCCCAGATCATGATCAGCTTGTTCCTGTCTCCCGTAGCCTGGCACATAGCAGGAGACCCCTGAGACCTGCACCCTGGAGACCCACAGCCCACCCCTGCCTCCACTCCCACTCCGTGGGCTTTGGCTGTCCCAGGGACCCATTCTTGACCCAGCAGGGGATAGGGGCTGCTTTAACCCAGCAGGGCACATCTGGGCATGAGCCTGCACCCCCAGGACCCAGGCAGAACACTCCCCGTGGCCATCTCTCCACCCCTGTCCCCATACCAGGTACTTGCCGTCCGACGAAATGGCCATGCAAAGGACTTGGGATGCGTGCCCCATGTGCTGCTCCTCCGTGCCCTTCTTCCCCCCGGGCACCACGCACAGCCTCTTCCCACTGTCCACCTCCCCTGCAGGAAAGTCATCACAATCACCCTCTGGGACCTTCCCAAAAGTGTCAGTGAGCCTTCCACAAAGCCTGGAATTATGTACAATCCAAGAACAGCCACAGGCCAAGCCACCTCAGAGGGCACCTGGATCCCTGCAGGGGATGGGCCTGGGAACAGCCAGCCACAGCCCCAGGTGAACACTTGCATTTGATGAGGGAGCCGTCCTTGGAAGCAGAAAAAATGAATCTGTCATCAGGAGAGATGACGAGGCAGGTAACAGGCAGCTGGTGTCCCCGCAGCACACAGATCCTGGCTGGATCTGGAGGCTGTACCTGCAGGAAGAGCAGGATGTGAGCTGGGCTGCCCAGGACCCTTCCCCAGGCTCAGGAGTACCCCAGCACAGCGCCCTGACTTCTCCAGGGTGCCAGCAGCAGGGAGAAAGGCTGTAGTGTGCTGGCCGTGCCTTAGTGTCCCCTAAGCTGGCACCGGCAGTCTGGCACCCCCAGCACCGGGCACTTACATCTTTGGCGACCAGGCGCTGCAGCCGGCCTCTCTGCTCCAACTGGGGAAGAAGGGGGAGGTTCAGCAGAGGCGGCCGCAGTCCCGGTCCCGCGGGAAGGGGACGGAGCCCCCTGCCGCCATGGGGACCGAGAGGCCGCCCCCGCCTCCCCGCTCACCACGTCCTCCTTCAGCCGGTCACCGATGAGATCCGCGGGCTCGAATTCCTCCTCGTCCTCCGCCCGCTCCTCCTCTGCGGCGGGACAGTGCGTGAGGGCCGGGCTCAGCGCCCGGGGCCGCCCCGCGGGGCACCGGAGCCGGGCGGGACTCACCGAGCTGGCGGAGCTCCTCCAGGTACTGCTTGGCCAAGCGCAGCTTCTTCTCCTGCGGCGTCTCCTCCACCTCCTCCTCCGCTGCCTCTCGCCGCCGCCGCCCCAGCAACGGGCTGCGGGAAACGCGTGCGTGAGCATCGCTACCGGCACCCCACAGGTACTACACAGCCTCCGGTACCGGCATCCCCCGGGCCAGCATCTCTCCGGTAGCGGCATCCCCCGGGCCGGCATCTCTCCGGTAGCGGCATCTCCCGGTACCGGCACTCTCCAGGCGCAGCCCTTACCTCTCTGTCTCAGAGTCGCTAGACACTTCCTCGTCGGCGGGCCGACCGGCCGTCGCCCGCGCTCTCCCATCGGCGCCCGGTGCCTGCGGAACAAAATGGGGCGATCGACGGGACGGGAACGGGGACGAGCGCAGCAAAAGCCCCACGGCGGCGACCCCGGCGAGGCAGCCCTTCCTCTCCCGCCCCCCCGCTCGCTCCGGCCCGGGCCTTACCGCCGGCCGCCGCCGTGCCGCCGCGCCGCGCGGGCCCTTGGCGCGCCTGCCGCCCGCCGCCGCCGCCATGCTGCCGCCGCACGTGGGCCCCGCCGCCACCGGGAGCCAGGCCACGCCCCCGACAGCGCCCATTGGCTGAGGCCGGCAGGATCCCGCCTCCTATTGGCCCAGCCGCACCGCCTCCCGGTACCGGAAGCGCGCCCTGCCCCGCCCCGGTCGGACGGCCGCACTGTCACTCCGGTGTGACGTCACGCTCCGCCCCGCCCTTAGCCCCGCCCCCGCGGCCTGGCCACGCCCCTGGCGCTGCCCCCGCTCCGGTGCCGGTGCCCGGGTCCCTGCGGCGGGGACCGGTCACCCACGGCACCCGCGGCCCGGCACTGGTTGTCAGAGCCCCGGGACCCCCGGCGCTGCCTCCTCTGCCCCCATGTCCTGCAGCTGGCAGACCCCGTGGTGACAGTGACAGTGACAGTGGATTGGCACTTCCGGAATCATCAACTCCTCTGCCCCTCAGCGACCCTTACCAGCCTCCACTGTCGGGCACGGCCTCTGCTCCCTTCCCATGACCTTTCTGGAGTTCCAGGCCATGCTGTCTGTCCGGGACGGGTGATGCTCTAAAGAGCTAAAAACTGCTTTTGCCAGAAATTTTATTAAGTGTGAACAATCTCTTTTCTCTTTGGCACAGGGGGAGTCAGGGAAGGACAGTGGGAATGCCCTGCACTGGTCTCAGCAAGGCAACAGGCCTAGGTAGAGCCTGTCCCAGCCTGTGCAAGTGGATGTACCAGCTGGGGAGTGATGCTGCCCTCAGGCTCAGCACCCCAGAGCATGACAAGAGGAGCCACCCTCTCTGGCTGAATGCCTGTCGAGGCTACACAGTTTTGGTCTTGGTGGCACCAGGCAGCTGTGGAGCCTCAGGCTCAGGCTCTGAGGCTCCACAGAAGCTCTGAGGCTGCAGGAACCCATGCCAGGGGCAGTGCGGAAGGAGCTGGGTGGACAAGGAGCCCACCTCCCCATCCATCCGGGCAGCAGGAGCAGAAAGGCAGGTGTGGTCATGGAGGGGAGCTCTACCTAGGAACTGAGCAAGCTAGAACTCACGGGGACACATCTGAAGGGTTCAAACTGCAGTGCCCAAAAGGCTGGCCAGTTTGGAAATCCCACCTTGGCCTCATCTGCGTCCTGGTCGTGCAAGTGAAGGAGCTGTCCTGTACCTCCTGCTTCATCATCTTCTGGTGGTGCTCTCTGTAAGCCCCATCACGACTCGAAGGAGACGGACGGAGAGCTCCCGCACAGTGTATCCCTCCTTGGCGAGGAGGGGAGGGCGTGAAGATGGACATCCCTGTCGGAATCTGTGGGTATTGGTGATTCCGAGATTGTAGAAAGTCTCTGTCTTTCTGCCCCGTTGCCAAAGAAGAAGCCATAATTTGTCTGTGCTGTTTTCAAGGTTATTTATTCTTGCTTATCTATAACATGTTCTGCTGCCCTGCCGCAGCTCTGTCCTGCAGGGCAGCGTGTGGGGCTCTGCCCCTCAGTGGGATGGTACAAACATTATATACCAGAAACTACGTGTGCTATATTTACAATAATGTGCCAATATCTATCATCTACGTTGAACAGTGTGTCCCCAGCCTAAACCAATAGAAAAATGCCAACACCACAGTGAAACATGGAGGGCATGAAGAAGGAGGAAAAGGACAAGACACACCCAATTCCTCCATCTTGTCCCCTCTGAACCCCTAATCTAGAAACCTAAAATTTTACTTTTGCACCCGTGTCACACTTAATTATTACTCTTATCAAACACTCAGAGCTTGTAATTCATCCTGTAAGATTGAAAACTCCTCTCCATGGACAGAGATCACAGACAGTGTCTCTCGGGGCTCTGTCCAGGGGGGTTCCTGACCCCTGCCAGGGTCCCAGACCTGCCAGGGCAGCCAGAGTGAAGCCCTGGATTCCCACACATCCCCAAGAGAGCCTCGGGCAGCCCTGCTCCGGAAGGGAGCGGAGCTGCAGCGCCGCACATCTGCCCGGCGGGACTGGGTGTCCCGGGGGCTGGAGGCCCTGCGGAGGGCGGGCAGGTCGGGCAGGGTGTGCCGCGGCCGGGCCGGTGGATCCCCGCGGGATTCGGGCACAGCGCGGAGCGGAGCGGGGCCCCGGCGCGCCGGGCGCTGCGTCCTCCGGCCGGCAGAGGGCGCGGGCGGGCGGCGCGGGCGGGGGAAGTGACGGCGGCGGCGGGGCCGAGAACGGTACGGGAGGGACCGGGCCGGGCAGGGGGAGAGCGGGGAGAAGGGCAGGGACAGGGCTCGGGGGCGGCTCAGCGATGGGGCAGCGATGGGGCAGTGGTGGGTCAGTGGTGGGGTCAGTGGTAGGGTCAGCGATGGGTCAGTGGTGGGTCAGTGAAGGGGTCAGCGATGGGTCAGTGGTGGGGTCAGCGGTGGGTCAGTGAAGGGGTCAGTGGTGGGGTCAGTGGTGGGTCAGTGATGGGGTCAGTGGTGGGGTCAGTGGTGGGTCAGTGATGGGGTCAGCGATGGGTCAGTGGTGGGGTCAGCGATGGGTCAGTGAAGGGGTCAGCGATGGGTCAGTGATGGGGTCAGCGATGGGTCAGTGGTGGGGTCAGCGGTGGGGTCAGCGATGGGTCAGTGGTGGGGTCAGTGATGGGGTCAGCGGTGGGTCAGTGATGGGGCAGTGATGGGTCAGTGATGGGGCAGTGATGGGTCAGTGAAGGGGTCAGCGATGGGTCAGTGAAGGGGTCAGTGGTGGGTCAGTGGTGGGGTCAGTGGTGGGTCAGTGGTGGGGTCAGTGGTGGGTCAGTGGTGGGTCAGTGGTGGGGTCAGTGGTGGGGTCAGCGATGGGTCAGTGGTGGGTTAGTGGTGGGTCAGTGGTGGGTTAGTGGTGGGTCAGAGATGGGTCAGTGTCAGCTCAAACGACAGGTCAGTAATGAGGTGCGTGTTGGTCAGTGGTGGTCGGGGAGGTCAGTGGCGGGGTGGGGACCTGCATTCAGGAGGTGCAGCCATGAGGTGGGAGCAGCGATCAGCTGGGTGATGCCGTTTCAGTGCCTGTGGTTTGGGGCAGTCGGGGTGCAGGCAGAGCGAGTGCCCTGTGTGGGAGTGCAGCGTGGGAAGTGGGGGGTGCTGTGTGGGGCCCTGGACAGACGTGTCATTCAAACCAGGGAAGCAGAACCAGGCGCTGTGGTTGGTCATGAGCCTGGGCTGCTTCCTGCTGCGCTGGCACCCGGGGCAAAGGAGCCAGCAGCAGCGGGCAGGGTGAGTGTGAGCAGCGTGAGCAGGGTCAGGTGTGAGCAGGGCGGGCGTGAGCAGTACTGAGCAGGGTGACTGTGGGCAGGGTGAGTGCAGACATGGTGGGTGGGTGAAGGCAGGGCGAGTGCAGGCAGGTGGATGGCAGGCAGATGCTGTTGGAGTCCGGCGTGGCTTTGCTGGGCAGACAGAAGGAAACCATCACCTACTCAGGAGTGCTGGTGGGGCCTGGCTTTGAAGGGGACAGGGCCGGCTGGGCTGTGAGTCAGTTGTCTTGGAGCTAGGGGGGTGACCCCACCATGCCTCCTGGGTGTGGGAGGGCACACTCAGGCCCTCCCCAACTGCCATAGGGGAACTGTAGCAGTTTGCTCAATCCTTGTTAATCAACCGGCGTGGTGGTTTCTCCTGCCTTCTGCCTGCGGCTTCTCGTTTGCAATAGGAACTGCCAGGCTGAGAGAGGGGACCCCACAGCATGCTGTAGGATGGGGGTTTTCTGACCCCTCAAAGGCTATTTGGGTTTCTCAGAAGCCTGACTCTGAGGACATGTGTGATGAGCTAGCTAGGATGGGTGCCAAGGTGGCAGGAGCTACTGGCAGGGGCTGGGGAGGAGGCAAGACCAGCGCTGTGCCTCCTGCCCCTCAGCTGATTTGGCAGTGTTAGACTTTTCTGCAGGTCTCATGGCATGATTTCCTGGAGCTGGCACCATCTGCCATTTCCCTGCCATGAATCTCTTGTTTGACCTTGGACCCGCCAAACCTCCATGAACTCATCTGGCTGTGCCAGAGGGGAACTGTGCCTGTGCTGGGGCCAGTGGCGGGCTGGGGAGAACACACGCATGGTCTGTGCCTTACTGCCTCTAAGCTGTGACCTGCTTGGTTTCCCGTCAGTGAGAAGAATGGGTTCTGTGTCAGAGGAGCTCAGCTTGGTCCCCTTGCACCAGAGGCCGGAGCTGCTGGAAGCCTGTGCCAAGCTGCTGGGCGAGGAGTGGGGGAAGAGCCGGGCGTCGCGGCTCCACACGCTCCAGCGCTCCTCGGACGCCTTCCCCGCCTGCCTGCTGCTGCTGCGGAGCCGGGCCCCCAGCGAGACCCCCGCCGCCCGCGAGGGGCCCTGCGAGCTCGTGGGCCACGTCCGACTCTCCCGCGTGGTCAGCCGTCCCCATGACCTCTTCGTGGAGAGCGTGGTGGTGGCGCGGGCGCTGCGGGGCCAGGGCTATGGGCGGCGGCTGATGGAGGCCACGGAGCAGTGGGCCCGGAACCGGGGCTTTCGCTGCCTGCACCTCACCACCCATGACAAGCAGCATTTCTATGCCCACCTGGGCTTTGTCCTGGGTGAGCCAGTGCAGAACGTGGCCTTTCTCAGCCCGGCTATATCCTCTGAGGTGCTGCGGCTCTTCTCTGCCCCTTCTGGGGCTGCCACTGCCCCCACCACCAGGCCATGGGTACCCGCTGTCCCCCCGCCTCCCCCGCCGCCCCTCACTGTCCCCCCACCACCTGCCCCACCGACTGTGATCTGGGCGGGGGGCGTCCTGGCTGAGAGCGGCGAGCAGAGCCTTCTGGAATCCCCACACCGCGATGCCAAAGGGCTCCCCATCTTCTGGATGAAGAAGGACATCTGAGGGGCTGGGGCCCCGAGCCGGTGATTAAAAGCAGTGCGGGTGGGAGCTGCCCGCCGCAGCGCTGCCTGACTGCCTGCCATTCTTCAGGGCTGGCACCAGCTCCCCCAGTCTCCATGGTTCACCCTGGCCCCATTGTTGGGGCAGGGGGGTGCTGGCAGGGAATGGGCAGAGTTCCCATACCCTGCCCTACTTGGGCATGCTGCCTCTGCTCCTGCCTGGCCTCCAGCTCACCTGGCTGGGGCTCTGGGACCACCAGCATGGTGGGGAGCCAGGCCCACCCCCGGCTGTGGGGTTGGCACTAGTCCTCAGGAGCATCGCCCAGTCCCACCAGTGTCTCCTCTACTCAGGATTTGCTGTGTGGCAGCTGGGGCTGATGGAACGTGGTGGCCTCCAGCATGCCCACAGCTGCTCTCACTGAGCAGTCTGGGGAAACTGAGGCACAGGATGGCTGGGGGGGCACTGTGGGAGTAGGGCATGGTGGTGGGGCTGCAGAATCGAGTCCCCTGCACTGCACAGCGAAGGGGGCAGGTGGCCAAACCCCCACTAAGGCAGCCGGCGTCAGTGAAGGCCAGAGGCACGGGAGCAGGAAGGTCAGAGAGAGCGTCCTGCCTCGCAGCGAGGGATTAGCGCTGTCCTTGCTGTATCACGCGGCCCTGGGCCCGTTCCCTGCCTAATCCCCTCATTCTGGGCAGCGGGCCAGTACCGGGCAGGGGCACCAGACCCCTCTGGCCCTGCCTGGGCTGTAAGGGACAGAGCTGCCCCTTTGGCCCCACCATGCCTCTTTGGAGGGACTCGGTCCCTCAGCAGGTCACCCGGCCTGGCTCAACACTGTGCTGAAATGGGGACCAGGGAGTCTTGGTGCCTCCACTACAGGCAGGACTGGGAGGCAGCAGGGAAATTGAGGCACCAGGGTCAGTGGCATGCAGTGCCACTCCAGAGCTGTGCCATGGCTGTGGTGGTGCAAGCAGGATCTCAGAACCAGAGAGCAGCAGGCAGAGGTAACAGTGGCAGTGCTGAGGCAGTAGGGGTCTCAAACCCCCAAGTGTACCGAGTTCTGTCAGGTTTTGGGGTGGGCAGCATGTGCTTGCAGGACAGCCCAGCCCTTGTGGCCAATCCTAGTCCACCATGTGCCAGGGGCGCAGTGCCTGCATTGCTGGAATGCCCACTGCATCCCACAGCCTCACCCCATGGCTCTCCTTTCCTCACAGGGTGCTGGCCCCGCAAACAGCTGGTGAGGCAGAATGGTGCTGGTGCTGGCACTGTGGGCCTGCCTGGCACTGGGCACAACCAGTGAGGAGAGCCCGGCACCTGAGCCCCTGGCAGGTGGCCAGCCCTTTGCCGTGGTGTGGAACGTCCCCACCGGGCGCTGCCAGCACCGCTTTGGCATAGGGCTGCCCCTCAGCGACTACGGCATCGTGGAGAACCAGGGTGGCCACTTTGCTGGCCAGAACATCACCATCTTCTACAAGAACAAGTTTGGGCTGTACCCCTACCTGTCACAGCACGGCGTGCCCCATAACGGGGGCCTCCCCCAGCGTGTCTCCCTTGACGCCCACATCAGCAGGGTGGCCGAGGACATCCGCCTCCTCCTGCGACCCGCTTTCCATGGCTTGGCCGTGGTGGACTGGGAGGAGTGGAGCCCTCTGTGGGCCCAAAATTGGGGAGCCAAAAAGATGTACCGGACAGCCTCAGAGCAGTGGGTGCGGGACCAGTACGGCGTCCTGCCGGCACGGCAGCAGCTCCGACTGGCCCAGCTGGAGTTCGAGCAGGCAGCACAGGCTCTGATGGAGGAAACACTTCTGGTGGGCCGAGCCCTGCGCCCTGGGGGGCTCTGGGGTTTCTACCACTTTCCCGACTGCCTCAACAGCAACTGGGCCAAGGTGGCAAACTACACCGGGCAGTGCCAGCCGGCGGAGGTGCAGCGTAACAACCACCTGGGCTGGCTCTGGGCCGCCTCCTCCGCCCTCTACCCCAGCATCTACCTGCCGCCGGCGCTGCCGCCCGCCCTGCGCCGCCGCTACGTGCACCACCGGCTGCGCGAGGCCCTGCGCGTGGCCGCCTTCGGGCCCGACGGCCTCCTGCCCGTCATCGCCTACTCGCGCCTCGCCTTCCGCCGCTCCTCGCGGTTCCTGCAGCTGGTAAGCGCTCTGGGGCCGCAGCTGCCCGCGGCTGCGATGCGGGGTTCTGGTTGGCGCAGGGACAGAGGCTGTGTCCCCCAGACGGGTCACGTCTCTTCCTGGCAGGCTGACCTGGTGCACACCATCGGGGAGAGCGCGGCGCTGGGAGCGGCTGGGCTGGTGCTCTGGGGAGACATGTCGTACTCCCGCTCGGCTGTGAGTATGGCAGCGCTGCAGGCAGCAGGAGGTGGTGTGGGATGTACGGGGTGGCCACATCCCCCGTGCCCACCAGGGAGGGCTGGCCAGGTCTCTGTTGCTGGGGCAGGTTCTCACTCATGCTTCCTCCCCAGGAAAGCTGTGCCAGCCTGCGCCACTACCTCGTGTCCACCCTGGGTCCCTACGTGGCCAACGTGACGGCAGCAGCCCGAGAATGCAGCTACGGGCAGTGCCATGGACACGGGCGCTGCGTGCGCCGGCAGCCCCACGACCTGGGCAGCCTCCTGCACCTTGGCCCCGGTGCCAGCCCGCAGGCTGCCTTCCGCTGCCACTGCTACCGTGGCTGGGCAGGTGAAAACTGTGCCCAGCGGGTATGGCTCAGTCCTGCCACCTCCTGCCAGGTGCCCGCCCACGCTCACAGCCTCTACGGGCACAAGGATCCCACATCCTCTGACACCTGCCTGCCACAGGGCACGTGGGGCTGGTGACAAAGGCCAGGGACCGCCATGGTCCCCTACTCCAGCAGTGCTGCTGCTGGCACTTCCTATGGTCTCATAACCTAAATAAATTCTCCTGGCACAGCTGGCATGGTTTTTGTGTGCAAAGCTGGAGGGTTCTGTGGTGTCCCTATGCAGGGCACAATTGCCATTGCTGCTGAGAGGCAGCACAGACCCCAGTTTGGCTCTGGATGGGTCCAGCAGTGCATCAGCTTTCCTGCATGGGCTCTGCCCTGATCCCATGAGCTGGCAGCCCCTTTACTCTGGGAAAGGGGGCACGGGGCACTGCCACAACCTGCTGTCCCTTTGCCACTGGCACTGTGCTGCCAGCAGCCCTGACCACGCCGCCAGGCCCCCCTCCCCATAGCTATTTTTATCGCCCCCCAACCGTGTTTCTCACTGTCCTATTTTAAGCGGCGCAGTTGGCGCACGGGAACCCAGTGCCCAGCTCCTGGGGGCCCTGCACCACCTCACTGCCCGCTCACACTGCCCAGGCACAGGCAGCCATGCCCAGGGAGGCTGCAGAAGGTACACTGGGGAGTGGGCTTGGGACTGGTGGTGGCTCTAGCACCCCAAAGGATACCAGGCAAGGCAAGGCTCTGGGGTTGGGATGGAAGCAGTGGACAGATGGTGCCCTCTGCCATGGGGTCTGTGGGCAGAGATGCCTGCCCAGGGAAGAAGGGGGTCCTGGAGGGCTGCAGGTGTAGGGCAGCAGGGTTTGGGAGAGCACAGGCAGCTGGCACGTACAGCCCCCTGCGCCAAACCTATGTGACCAGCTGTGCCCCCCAACCTGGGACAAGTGGGTGCGGGCGTGATGTGGGTACCTGTGGAGCAGTCCCTGGCCAAAGGTAGGGGTGTGGGGAGGGTCTGAGGGGACCCTGGGTACCAGCTGAGGCCCCCCAACCCTGATGCCTGCCAGCCCTGTGGGTGACACACAGTCTGGACAGCAGCAGCACGGCGCCACGCTGCCCTGCGACACGCCACTGGTCCCGGGAGGGATTGGGAGTGGGCACAGTGCCAGCCTGCCATGCTCTGCAAAGGGCACAGTGCGTGGGCCCTGCCCACTGCTCAAAAATACATAAACACCTAGAAAATAATCTTTTCCCTCAACCCCAATGCAGTGCTGGAGCAATGCCTACTTCCAAAAAGCCCTCCCAGTCCCACGTGACGTGCTCACTAGGGCAATGGGCACTAGGGCCCCCTGGCACAGCATACACCCCACATCTCCATCTGTGCACCCCCAAGCAGCATGGTATCTGCAGGGCAAGCTGGGCCACACCACAGACTGGCACTGCTCTGCACCTGCCCACCAGCTTCCAGCTGGCCCTTGGAGCCCCAGTCAGTCCCACGGTGCCTGGGCTATCCCGGCTGGGGGGTGGCACATTCCTGCCCCCAAGCCAGGGCCAGATTCCAGCCCCACTAACAAGGCTCCGGGATCGTGGCCACCAGGCACCCGCTAACTGCTCTGATGACAGCGGTGGGGCCGGGGGGGCACAGCCAGTGCTTGCCCACTGTGGCTGCAGGGCTGGCCCAAAGGAACACCAGTCTTGGCTGCCTGCCCTGGTGCAGCACCAGGCTGCCAAGGCTGACATCCCCCTGGCAGGGCTCTGGTCCCACAGGGGTGCCCAGGGCAGGCAGGGGCTGTGGGCAGGGCACAGGCTGACCCTTTGCCTCTGTTCCAGCAGACAGCATGGGAAGGGCTGAGGGTGCTGCGCCGGCAGAGCCTGGGGACCCCGACAGCAGTGAGTCCGGAGCCATCAGCCTGCGCCCCGTGGAGTCCATCAGCGACCTGTACTGGGCCTCGGGCGGGCACAAGGGCACCGAGGGTGAGAGCACTGCAGGGGGGCTGTGCAAGGCCCGGCTGCCCCATGGCCAGGCTCTGACCCCTTCTCTCCCCCGCCTGCAGGCAATGGCCCGGCTCCCTCCAGCAGCCTGCACCGGCCCCCACCCCGGCCCGTGTCGCCCGTGCCCCCGCCGCTCCTGCCCACCCTGCGCCCCGTGCCCCCTGCCAGCCCCTGCCCTTGCTTCGGCCCTGGCCACCCCCTGCTGCTGGCCCTGCTGGCGCTCCTGGCACTGTCAAGCCTGATCCTGGCCACGCTGGCCATCTACCTGAGCGGTACGTGGCACTGGCAGGGTGGGGAGATGGGGCATGGTGGGGGCCCGAGCTGCCCACCTCAGCACGCTGCCATGCTCTCCCCGCAGTCCTGCAGAGCCAGTCGGTGCGGGCGCTGGCCCAGTGGCTCGAGAGCCAGGAGGACGCCGTGCACCAGCTGCGGGCAGCCAGCAGGCAGCTCTGGGCTCGCCTCAACGCCAGCGCCCAGCCTGGCGGGCACCGCTGAGCTGCTCCTGGTCCCACCATGGGCTCTGGGCCGCCACGGGAAGGGGCACCGAAGGGCAGGAGGGGGGAGCAGGCAGCTTTACCCACTGAGACCTGGCAGCGTTGTCCCTTGGGGCACAGGGGCAATCCCAGACCCTGTCCCACAATGCGAGAGAAAGAAACTGGGTTGTAAGGACCTGCATCCGCCCCAGTGACAGCCCTTCCTCTTAACAAGGCAGAAGGCATACTTTATTTAGCCTTTTAATTACCTCTTACAATCAAAGTCTTAGAAAATCACCATGATAGATACATTCCCAGGGTGGCAGGCACTGCCAACTGGCACGGCCCCATGCCCGCCTGGGCAGTGGCCCCCCCGTAATTAATTTCCCACAAGATTACTATTTCATATAAAGCATTTGGCTGGAAAAGGGCTGAGAGTGGGCAGCTGGCAGGACTGGGCAGAGCTTCCCACTCCACACTGCTCTGCCACCATCACGATGCCAGGCTGGCTAGGGAGGTAGGGGCTGTACCCAGCATGGCAGGGTGGGGAGAACGCTCCTGCCACAGGCACAGACACCAGGACCAGCTGCTCTGCAGCCCTGCACAGCTCTGCCCTCCCACTCACCCTTCAGGCTGTGCCAGGCTGCCCTGGTGCCGCTGCAGGACTGGGGAGGGTGTACACGAGCCCTGCCACTGAAAGGAGATGCAGAAGCCTGGGTGAGACCCCCTCCCACTGTGCCACATGGATCCCCAGCCACAGAGCAGGCACACGGCAGCACACCACCACCTCCCCCTGCTCTTCTTTCATCCTTCCTATTTTTTGGTTAAAAAAATAAAAGAGGGGGCAGCCCCTCCTTGGGGCAGCTCCAGGCATTAAATACTCTGCTGTACAAGAATAAAAGCCCGAGGGCTGGGGGCACCTGCCCCTCACAGTGCTGGGTCTGCAGTCCCGGTGGGCTGGGGGCTCTGCCCCCTCTGCCCATTACAGCACATCCGCCCGCTTGTCCCGCACGCGGCTCCGGGCTTTCGTGCGGGCTTTGAAGGCAGCTGAGTTGTAGAGGTGCTGGAAGGAGAGGGACGGAGACATTAGGGTTTGGGACGCCCCTCTGCCCACCTCCCCAGCAGCACCCACCACACTCAGGCACTCGGCAGGAGCCCCCGGTGGCAGAGGAGGGGACTGTGGGCACAAATCTGGGAGGTGGCACCCACGCCCACCTTCTCAAAGCGGGAGACCTTGCTGGCTTTCAGAGCAGCCGCATCCAGCACCAAGGGGGGCCCGAGGCCGAAGATCTCCCGTAGCAGCTCATTGTTCTGTGAAAGGAGGGGTCTGTCAGCACCCACCAGCATCAGCCCAGCACTCCCTGGTGCATCTGCCCAGCCCATACCTGGAGATGGTGGTGGATGCCAGAGCCCAGCACCTCCTTAAAGGCTTGGTAGGTGCGCTGGCGTGCCCAGCTGTCCAGGTACATGCACTCCAGGCCAAATCGGATGGTCTCCTCCTGGTACTCCCCACTCTGAGGAGAGAGAGGGGCACCAGCAATAACCTGGGCAGCAGCCCTGTGTCCCCTGGCTCTCCAGAGAGGAATCATCAGGCAGCTGGGAAGCAGACACACAGTGGCAGGACGGGGCACCACCAGGCTCCGGTACCTCAATGAAACGCAGGATGTCCCGGAAGATGGATCGCTGCCTCCGTCGGTCTGTCTTGGCTCGGTACTTGTTGCTCTCAGTAGCCAGGACCTTGAGCTGGGTACACAGGAACTCTGTATCTTGGTGGCACAAGTCCTCCTGCCAAAAACCAGAGGATTTAGAGGGATGAGCACTAGGCACTGCCCACTGCCATGGGCAGGACAGGGCTGGGGGATCACTGGGGCTAGCCCCTCTGCCTGGGTGCCTGCTAGTGACACTGGTCAATGCCAGCTCAGCCAGGGCATGTCAGGGTGTCACAGCAGCTTCCTCCCTGCTGCCTGGTTAGTGCCCACCCACCGTTCCCATTGCCACACCCCCTGCCTTACCTCCAGGTCCTGGGCCAGCTCAAAGAGCAGCGCAATGGTTTCCCCAGCCAGGATGCGCAGGGCAACGCTGCTGCTGGTCAGCAGTGGGGGCAGCTGCAGCCAGTGACTGGGACAGGGAAGCAAGGGGGCAGTCTGAGAGGCCAAGTACTGCCCCAAGGGCTCAGTGCTCCACAGCTGGCTGCCCCACACCAGCCTCCGCTCACTTCACATCCCACTCACTTGTCCAAAATGCTCCTGAGGTGGGAGGGGGGGCAGATGGTGAGGAGCAGGGACCATGACTGGAGTGCGCTGCAGTGCAGAGGCCCATGCTGGGCAGCTGCTGAGCCCCCTTCGCCTGTACTAGGGGGGCTGAAGATGCCCTCCAAGCAGGACAGGCATGAAAGCAGGTCCTGGAGGAGAGAAACTTCGCCAGTCAGACCACAGCTGCCATGGAGATGCCACACTGAGCTGTGCACTGGGGACCAAAGGGGACCCACCATACTAAGGGGTGCCAGGAGCCCCTTGGGACAGGAGAGGCTACTCCACCCACAACACCCAATCTGCTGGCTCCCCCCAGCTCAGCTCCAGGCTGCCCTGGGAAGGGGCCTGGGCTGTCACTCATGTCCCCGTACCCCTACTCCAGCTCAGCTCCAGGCTGCTCTGGCACTGTGGGCTGAGGGCAGGTGGCATGGCAGCCCCCGGGTGCCCTCTTGCAGGATGACACCCAGGCGCAGTTACCTCGAGGTCAGCAGCAGCAATGTAGCAGCACATGCCCAGGGCCGTGGCACACTGGCAAGAGAAGTGAGGGAAAAGCAGTCAGATCAGGCCCAGCTGGATCATGCCAGGCCTGATTCAGCACCCAGCAAAGGGGCAGCCGGGTCGGGGTGCCCCTGCTTTGCCCCACTGCACCCCATGGTGCCCAATCCTGTCACCCTCCCGGGACCGCAGGGCTCCCAAAGGCATTGCCTGGGCTCTCCCCGCCACGGAGGTGTCCCCGGGAGGGAAGGGGCCGGGCCTTACGCTCTGCCGGGCGCCGGGGCTGGCTGTGCTGTCTGTCAGGACGCTGATGAGCAGGGGCTTCAGGCTGCGGAACACCTCTTCTCCCTCCGGGCCAGAGCCCATCTGGAGGCAGAGGAGGGTGAGGACGGTGCCCGCCAGCGCCTGTTCTTCCCCTTTACCTGTGGGCAGCACAGAGACCTCCCTCAGGCACGGGTCAGCGGCCCCGCCGCCGCCGCCCGCAGCCACGCTGACCTTTCTTGAGGCACTTCTCCAGGGAGTCGGTGAGCGTCAGGCGGCGCTCCAGCAGGAACTCGGGCAGGCTTTTGGAGGCCAGGGCCAGGCGCAGGCTCTGCAGTGCCGCCTGCCGCGCCTTGGCGCTGCGAGACACGGCGGGACGTCACGGGCCGGGCTATCCCGCGGCGGGGCACGGCGGGCAGCGTGCCCCGAGAGCCACGGGGGCGACAGCCGCTCCTCACCTCTTGTCCAGGAGGCTGTCCATGTGCTCTTTCAGCCTGTCCTCTATCTCTTCCTCCTGGCCTTGCTCACTCGCCGCCTCGCTCCCTGCCCGGGCGGCACCACGTGAAGCCGGGAAGTCCCAGGGCGGGGAACACCGCGACCCACGTGGGGTCACCGTGGGGTTCGCGTGGCTCACCTGGTGCCTCGTCAGCGGGGCCGGCGCTCTCGCTGGCACTGCTGCAGTGGCTCAGCACCTCGCTGCCGGCCTCCTCCTCGCTGCCGGGCGAGCTCGCCCGGGCGCTGCCGGTGCCGCCTGCGGGGGTTGGGGGCAGCCTGGTGTGAGCCCGGCGCTGCCGGCCCGGCCATGTCACCCGCGGCCCCGACCCCCCGCTCCCCTCGCCCGGGGCCCCCCGACTCACGGCGCGCGGCGCGGCGGGAGCGCGGCATGGCCGGAGCGCGCACCCCGCGCCCCGCCCCCCGGGAGGCCCCGGCCCCGCCCCCCGGGGAAGCCCGGCCCCGCCCCGGGAGGACTCGGCCCCGCCCCGGGAGGCCCCGGTCCCGCCCCCGGGGAGCCCGGCCCCGCCCCCCGGGAGGACTCGGCCCCGCCCCCGGCCCGGGAGCATCCCCCCGCCGTCTGCGCATGCGCAGCGCACGGCCCGCGCCCCGCGCCGCTGTCCCCGTCCTTGCCCGCGTCCCTGCCCCTTTCTCTGGCTCGCTATGCTCATCCTTTCTCCCTCAGTATCCCTGCCCGTATCGCTGCCCCTCTCCCTGTCCTGACGCTATCTTCATCCCTGGTCCCTGATAAGAAAGATGCAGACTGATGTCTTTACGAACAATTCCATGGGTGAGGATCTTTAGGAGAAACAGGTGTTCATGTCTTTGAAATGGGTCTTCATGTCTCTACTAACCTCAAGCCACCCAGGTTTGGTACAGAACCCAGACAGTTTGACTACAGTTTGAATTCCTGAACTTTAAGGCAATAGCCAAACGGGTCAGCACAAAGTCCCTTGCAGAACTCAGCCTGAACTTCTGAACGTCAGGGGAAAAGGACAGGTTCAAGGAACATGTGGCTGTAGGTTCGGGAAGGCTGTACCTTCCCAGTACCTCAGCCAATGCGGAAAGGAAGAGGGCAACATGCGGCCGGGAGTTGGGATGAAAGGAGGCTGCACCTTCCAAACCTCAGGAGAGAAATTCCATGGAGGTATGGCCCAGTGGAGTCCCTCCCTTTATTCAAATAAAGTTGCAGGACTCCTCTGTCTCCTTTATGGACACTGGCTTCTCCTAATGTGATTTTCTGCACATCCCTGGCCTATCTCTGTCCTGGTTCTATCTTCATCCCTGGCCACTCACTATCCCTGCCCATATCCTTTCTTCTGCCCCTGGCCCTGCCTGCATCGCATCAGGATAATCTCATTCCCTAAGTAAAATACCAACTAGTCTTTCTAGCGTGAAATGTTTGGCCTTTACTAAGATCTATATGCCCCCTGTTATGTTGTACACTGCGTAGCTGTGGCTGGGTGGGCAGGCAGATAAGGCTGACAGCCTGGGCCCTCCAAGACCTCCCTGAGACCTTCCTATCATCTGGCCTCCCAGGTAAGTACCCCTTGACGTAGTGAGACTGACTCCAGAGAAAAGAAGGATGCCAAAGCCATAGAATTGCACTGGCTTTACAAAGCCAACAGGCTTTGTAAATGGGGACAGCAGGGAATTCATGGAGCCTTGTTGTACCCCAACACATGAAAGGTGGCAAGAGCCACATGTGAAACACATCATGGGGTGCTTCGATTTGGCTGGGACAAGCCCTGGGTGTGAATAAAGAATTTCTCTTGTCATGCTCATCTTGGTGTCCTGGTCTTGCTCCTCAGGCTGCATGGGCCCGGTGTGAAATGTCCATGACGCCTGTCCATGCCCACACCTCTGCTCCTGCCTGTAACCCTGTCCCCAGTGCTGGTCCTCTCCCCGCCTCTCCTCCTAATATCCCTGCCCCTGCCTGTATTCCTGTCTTGTTGTCACCCAGTACTAAGGGGACACCTATCCCTGCTCCTGCCTGCATCCCTGACCTGGCCATTTGCTGCTGCTGCCAATCACAGAATCACAGGGCTGGAAGAGACCTTTAAGATCATCGAGTCCAACCCAGCCCTAGCACCTCAATTAAACCATGGCATTGAGTGCCACATCCAGTCTTTTTTTAAACACATCCAGGGATGGTGACTCCACCACCTCCCCAGTACTTCATCACTCTTTCCGTAAGAAACTTTTTCCCAATACCCAATATCTCTACTTCTGTCCTTGTCCCTGCTCCTGACTGTATCCCTGTAACCCTGCCCATCTCTCCTCTATTCTATCTGTACCCCTATCCTTGTCCCTGACCCCAAATGGACCCTATCTCCCCCTTATTCATATCCCTGCCCCTGCTGCTGACCTTTCCCTGCCCCCATCCTTGTCCCTATTCCTTCCCCTCCGTCTTTCCCTCTCCCCAGCCTCTGCCTGTCTCCTGCCCATGTCCTGACCCCCTGCCCCTTTTTGCTCCTGCCCCTATTCCCTATCCTATTCCTCTTCCCGTTCTTGCCAGCCCCTGCTGCCAGGAGCACACTTCCCCTCTGCCTACAGCCCCTGGCCCTGCCTGACCCTCAGCCGAGTTCCCAGGTGTGAGTTTCTGTTCTTTGGCTCTTCCCAGTTTATTTGGGCCAGGGGGGCAGTCGCGGGTTCCTTTGCACTTTCGTTTCAAGCTTGGCAGAGCCAGAAACTGAAATTCCGTCAGGAACAGAAACTGAAACTCCCAATCTCCCAATCTTCCAATCTGTTTAAGGTAGCACGGGCTGCAACATCCTACTCGCACTACTGCTGCCTCCTGCTCCCGGGATCGAGGGGCACCGGGGGCTCTGCTGAGGCTGCACCGGCCGCATCCCACTGCAAGGGAGGGCCCGAGCCTCCCCGGTGATGCTGGCGTCAGCCGTGTCCCGCTGCCGGTGTTGACACCGGGACTCTCGGTGAAACCGGCATTGTCCGCATCTCATTGCCTACAGTGATGCCAGGGCACCTGCTGACACTGGTGACAGCCTCGTTCCATTGCCCGTAGTGACACCAACGTGGCACCGGCAACATCCCATTGCCCCTGCTGACACCAGCACAGCGTGAGCCGTGTCCCAGCGCTGGCTGTGCCCCAGCCCGGACGCTGGAGCCCCAGCGGGGGACTGGTACCTGCGGTGGGGCTCTGCCTTTGTCCAGCTGGGCACCCGGGGCAGACCCTGTGCCGCCGAAGGCAGCGGGGCTATGAGGTCCCACAGCACCCCAGAGGCAGCCTGCAGGCAGCTGCCTCTCTGCCACCGCCACCCGAGCTGGATGGCAGGGTGCCACTCCTGCCCCCTCCCAGCCCCCGCCGTGGTGGCACCGGAGACACCCGGGGCATCCCGCGGAAAGGACCTCGGGCCACCTTAAGTTCCCAGCGGTGACGCATCGGGGCGGTGGCCCGGGAAGGTTTAAAAGCTGCTGCAGGCAGGGGTAGGCTTGGGAGGCAGCGAGTCAGAAGAGGGCAAACGGAGCGATAACCTGTGTCAGCATGGATGCGTACCAGGCATCCGCGAGCACACTGAGAACAGTAACCACCGAGAAGCTGGATGGCTGGATCGCCAGCAGCCTGCAGCCCAGCAAAGCCTTCTCCGACCAGGTGAAGGAGATAGTGCAGAAAATCTGTCAACTCCTGAAGGGGAACGGCTTTGAGGATAATATCTGCGTTGAAAAGACAGTCAAGGTGAGTGCTGCCCGTTTTGGGGCTCAGCTGCCACCCCTGCTGCCACCCTTCCCATTGTCCCATGCTCCAGCCGATCCTGGTGCTGGCAGTGGTGCTGAGCAGGCAGGGTCTCTCTCTCTGCAGGGTGGATCAGCAGGAAAGGGCACAGCTCTGAAGAACAGCTCCGATGCTGATGTGGTGCTTTTCCTCAGCTGCTTACCCAGCTACCAGGAGCAGAAGAACAACAGAAAGGCTATCCTGGATTTGCTCATGATGAGGCTGAAGGTCTGCAAGGAGAGCTTGCAGTTCCCTGTGTCCATTGGTGAGCCCAGGTATAAGGGTCCTGAGGGCATGCCACACTCCCTCAGGCTTACTCTGTCCTCCCGGGAGACTAGAGAGTCCATTGATGTGGACATCCTGCCCGCCTATGATGCTTTGGGTAAGTGCTGCCAGCTGGCACAGGGACAGGCAATGGTGTCAGTGCTGGGATGGCTCTCACCTTCCTTCTCACCCCACAGGGCAGGTGACCCGGGATGCCCCACCAAATGCAGAAGCGTATGTGAGACTCCTGCATGCCTGCAGCCACCCTGGGGAGTTTTCCCTCTGCTTCACTAAGCTGCAGAAGATGTTTGTGAAGCGTTGCCCTGCCAAGCTGAAGAACCTCCTGCGCCTGGTCAAGTTCTGGTACAAAGAGGTGAGGTGCTGCCCATATTTCCCAGTTGCCAAGAGACACCCTTCCCAGCCAGCTCTCACCTCCATCTGTGTCTTCTCCCCAGATGCTGAATCCACAGTGCCCCAGTGCTGACCTGCCCCCTAAGTATGCCCTGGAGCTGCTGACCATCTATGCCTGGGAGGAGGCCACAGGCTCTGCCAGCAGCTTTGACATGGCTCAGGGCTTCCGCACAGTGCTGGAACTGCTGTGCCGGTACCGGGAGATCTGCATCTACTGGGAGAAGTACTACTCACTCCAGCACAGAGAGATTGGTGCCCATGTCAAGGGGTTGCTGCGCAGACCCCGGTGAGGACCATGCCCAGTAGGATTGTGCCCGCTGGCCCCATGGTTGCCCAGGGCTGACAGCAATGCCCACTCTGTGTTTGCAGCCCTGTCATCCTGGACCCTGCTGACCCCACGGGGATCCTGGGCCAAGATAAGAAGTGGGACGTGGTGGCACAGGCAGCTGCCAGCTACTGCAACTCACTGCCCTTCCTTGCAGACGTCCAGTCCTGGGAAGTGGAGGTAAGGCTGCCTGAGCCTGTGAGTATCATGGTCCCCCCACCCCTGCCCCTGCTGTCTTTGCCCACCCGCTCTCCTGTCCCTGCAGCCGGCCCGGCGCGTGAGCATTGAGGTGCTGCAGCTGTCAGGCACCAAAATGACAGAGCGTGTCAGCCCCTACACCACTATCAGGCAGCTGAAGCAGATGATCCAGAAGAATTGGGGCATCTCGCCATACACACAGCGCCTGGCACAGCAGGAGCTAGGCAGAAACAACATCATCCTCAAGGACTGTGACACCCTGGCCATGCATGGCATCTTCTACAACACCACACTGGTGCTGCTGCAGACTGAGCCCCAGGAGATGCAGGTCTTCGTCAAGGATGATAAGAATCGGAGCACTACCTACACGGTGCTGCCCACCGACACCGTCCGACAGCTGAAGGAGCAGATCCAGGCCCGGCAAGGCCCTTCTCCCAGTGAGCAGCGCCTGACCTATGGCTCCAGGGAGCTGGAGGACCAGTTCACACTGGCGGACTATGATGTCAAGCCCATGAGCACAATCTACATGCTCCTGCGGCTCCGGGGGGGTGTAGGCCCCCAGCTCCCCTAGCTCCCTGCCTGCTTGAGCGACTGAGCACTGCCCTCAGCACCAGCCCGTGCTCCTGTGTACCCTCCTGTCATGCTGGCAATAAATGCTTAGTAGATCCTTGTGCTGCTTGCTCTGTTGGGGACAGTGACAGGTGTCACATGGGGTAGTCAAAGGGGTTGGAGTCACCAACCCTTTCTGATGAGGGGGGACCTCGATGCCACAAGCTGCTGGGATGGCACAGGGACACAGAGGTGGAGTAAAGCAGTGCTCCCTGGGTGCTTGGTGGGGTCAGGGATGTCAGCCTGCTGCCAGCTGGACCTCAGGAGAAAAAAACAGCTCCTGTCTCTACCTGCTCCTGCCTGCACCACTGCCAGCCTGTGCTCATGCTGGGGGCTCAAGTGTCCAGGCTGGGGGGCAGCCAGTGCTGGGACTGTTTGTGCTGGTAGCACGGTGTCACTACTGGCCGTGGGATGTGGCCAGTGCCACCAGGGGTCCTGATGCCAGCGCAGACAGCAGGAGGCAGCAGACTCCGAGGTCACCTTTGGTCACTGCCTTAACTGCTGCCTGTTGGCACCTAGGAAGTTCAGTTTTCATCTTTCAGAAATCAAAGTGGAGCTGAAAGCACGGGGAGCTGGAAGTCTGGGGGAAACCCATCAAGCTTGGCAATGTCCCTGCAGGTCTTGTCTCCCCTCAGCCCTCCAGTGTTGCTGAACATCCCACCCCTCTAGGCTTGGGTGTCAGAGTGGGTCCATGCTGTGGGGCACTAGGCTGCCCCTGAGCGCTTCCTGGGGCTCTGAGTCAGACGCGGGACCCTGGGCGGCTGAATCTGCTTTATTGTGCTCAATTAGTACAAGGTCCCCTGTGCCACTGCTCTACACCCAGGGCAGTGGGTGCCACCTTTATACCCCCCAACATCTCCCCTTTGTGCCCCCCTCCTCCTGTGTCCTACCAGTGCCTGTCCTGCCCCTCCGTGCTCCCACTGCTGCCTGTAGCCCTTTGGGACCCGAGCGTGACCCTGCTGTGCCGTCCTCCCGCAGTGCCATGCTGGGGGGGGGGGGGGGGGGGCACTGCCTGGCCCCGCAGGTTTACATTCATAATAACAGTCGTTAATAAATATTTCGGTGACTCTGCGATGCCGGCAGCCGGCTGGGTCCCCACCGGTGTTGGAGCCGGTGGCAAGGGCAGTCGGCAGCCCCTCGGGGGGCTGCTCAGCCCGGCTGCCCCCCGCCACTGCCCACGCAGCGCTGCCGGCAGGGCGGCCGAGGCCGTGCCCCGCCCGCGGCCCCGCTCCCGAGGCAGAGCCCGGCGCCCGGGGCCGGCCCCGCTCCTGAGGCAGAGCCCGGCGCCCGGGGCCGGCCCCGCTCCTGAGGCAGAGCCCGGCGCCCGGGGCCGGCCCCGGCTCACCAGGGGGATGCGCTGCGGGGCCCCCGCTCGGCCCGCGGCCCCTCGTGGGTGCGCCGGCGGCGGGCTCGGCGCGGCTCCTCACCCCGCCCGCGGCCCGGGGCGCCGGCGGGAGTGCGGGCCGGTGGCGGGGGTCTCCAGAGCCTCTGGCAGACCTTGTCCGTGGCTCCCAGCGGTGGGCGCTCCACCAGCTGGAGGAAGTCCCGGTACCAGACCTTGCGGGGCATCCCGGCGGAGAGCTGGGGGTCTCCGGCAGATGCCGCGCCCGTGGCCTGCCAGGCGCCGATCACCTCCAGGGAGAGCCGCAGCAGGGGCTGGGTGAAGCCGTGCTCGGTGGCGTGGCAGAGGTAGAGGCCGGCGTCGGAGCGCCTCACGCTGCGCAGCAGGACGCCCCGCTCCGTCCGCACCACCCGCTCGTCCATCTGCACCTGCAGTACCCGCGGGGATGGGCGGTCAGCTCGGCACGGCACGGCGCGGCCGCACCGGCGGAACCTGGCCAGGGAGAGCCTACCTCTCGCTGAGGATCGCTCAGGGTGCGCTGGTATGTCCACAGGATGTGGGCTTGCAGGGATTTGGGGATGCACTCCAGAAAGACAGTGCTTCCCTCCACCCCGTAGAGTTGCTTCTGGGGTACGGTGTCCCGCCTGGGATCTGCGGGGACACAGCCTGGCTGTCAGCCCCCCACCATGGCAGGGTTGCCCCCAGACTCTGGCTGGGTCCCAGCTCACCTTCAGAGCAAAGCACGTTGGGGTCACCATTGCGGACGTCCTGCCGGCGGAAACGCCTGTGGGAAGGCGATGGAGGAGCAGGGGCTGCAGCAGTGTGACCTGCGCTCCTCACCATGGCCTCAGGGCAGGCTGGCTGCCCCAGCACTGCATCCCGGCATGTCACCTACCTCTTGGTGTTGGGCACGTAGCGGGTGCAGGTGTTGCCATCCCAGGCGCAGTACGGGTCCCGGGCCAGGCAGCACTCGGCACAGGCTTTGCCATAGGCACCGCAGCGGTGCAGGGGCAGCTGGGCCAGCGCTGTGGCCGAGCCAGCATAGAGCTGATGCTGGGGAAAGAGCAGTGCTGAGCACCTCCATGCTGTGGCAGGGGGCTAGGCAGAGCCATGGCGGACCTGGGAACGAATGCCCAGGGGTCCCCCCTTACCCGCTTGGAGGAGAGCTGCAGGCTGATGATGGGGGAGGCATCCTGTGGGCAGAGCATGGGCAAGAGTTAAGGATGCATGGGGCAACCTAGGGATGCATCATCCTGGCTTCCACATCCTGGCAGCTGGAGGGTTGTGCCCTAGCACAACCCAGAGCATGGACAGTACATGGAGATGCTGTGGGGAAGTCTAATTGGTGGGATGTGGAACCCTGACCCTCACCTGGAAGACCTGCAGCTCCTCCAGCAGCAGTGGCTCCATGCGGTGCCAGCTCTCCTTGGGCACTGAGACCACCTTCAGCACTGTGCCCACATCTGCAGGCAGGGAGGGGTGAGGCCACGGGTCCCAGCCCCAGCATCTCCCCACTCTCCCTCACTGCCCCATCCCTGGGGTCACTACATGCCTGTGCCAATGAAGAGAACATCGTAGTGGCCATCAGCAGCGGTGACACGGTCCACAGCTATGCGGGTGAAAGTGTAGGGCACGGCAGCTTGCAGGAAGAGGGGGCGCTGGCCATGGGGCAAGACAGGGTTATACATCAATGGGTGGTGACGGGCAAACTGGATCACCTCATCGGGGAAGTCCTTGGTGGAGCCGAAGGTGCCAAATGTTTTGCTGGGGCACTGCAGAGAGACAGCACTGGCTAAGCAGGGTCTCACACCCCACAGCCCCCACCCCAGGAAGTGGCACCAGCCATGACACCCCTACACCACATACCATGCCTGGGCGGGGGTATGGCACACGCCCCTGGTATGACACCCACTGATAGTTGGGACCTTCCTTGTGCGCAAAGGGGCCCAGGAAAGCCCGGCGGATGTCAGCCATGGTGTAAACACAGACAGCTGAGCCTTGGAAAACAGAGCTGGTGGGAGAGAGAAGGGAAAGATGTGAGGGGGCAGGCGGGGCACCGCTGGGTATGTGCAGGGTCCTGGGGAGGGGGCTTGACCTGGAGGTGGAGAAGATGGCGTAGATCAGAGGGTTGCGCTTGTCTCTTGTCTGCAACAGGAAAACATCCCCTGCAAGCAGGGAAGGCATCAGCGCTGCCAGTGTTGCCCACAGCTACACTGGTGGGGTCGCATCCCCATTTACTCACGGAGCTCATCAAAGTGGGTGTCTGCCCCATCAGGTCCTGGCACAGCACAGACCAGCCGAGCCTTCAGAAACGTCGTCCACTTGTTCACCAGGCTGCGCTGCCCACCCATGTCATTCTGTCAGGGAAAGGAGGACACTGGTGTCAGCAGCAGCAGGTGGCATCCCTGGCCCCCAGCCCACCTGCCTGAGGATGCTCTCACCCGGCAGATTTGGCCGATGCGGGCAAAGCTGGTCTTGCCCAACCCCTGCTGCCGTTCAACCGCTGTCTCACGGAAGAAGAAGTAGATCTTGTCGTCGTCGGGGTCCTCACTCTCTGGCACCCAAAAAACGGCCACGAACTTGGGCTCTGGGGACAAAGGGGTGATGCTTCCAATGCCTCCATTAGCTCTGCTCCCCAGGGACCCTGGAGCACCTGCTGGGGTCCCAGGGAGGGTGCAGAACCAACCCTGCCCAGCTGCAGAGCAGAGGCAGAGTGAGGATGGGATTCCACCAAACATTGTGGGTCTGGAGAGGACACAGGAATCCCTGAAATCACCCTCTGAGGCAGTGAAGGACAGTGTACATATGAGCCTGGAGGAGTCATTGCCCTGATGCCTCCAGGCATGAGCAGCACTCCTGTGCCAAGGTGCCAGTGGCCCCCCTGCCCCCACGCTCCCAGTCCCCAGCACTGACCGTTGAGCCAGCGGGAGTCGTGCTGCTCCGTGCGGATGGAGGGACGTCGGCCCAGGCTGCGGAAGATGGTAAAGTCACGGCCCATCAGATCGGTGGCCACCCCAGAGTAGAGCTCCTCGCCTGGCAGGCACCGAGGGAAGTGTTATAGGGGACCTCCTGGCACCCCTGTGCCACACTGCACCCAGCACCAGGCTCAGAATGCCCTTACCCACAAGGACAGAGGCGGCTGTATGCCGGGGGTCATACGGGCTCTTCCCCTTGCCATCCTCAGTGTGGTGGGGGTCCAGCTTAAAAACAGGCTCCTGGAGAGGAGTAAGGATGGGAGGTGGGCAGGTGGCAGCAGCTGGAGGCTGTGGTGGTGCCAGGGGAGGCTCACTTCTGCATGCTGGCCGGCCACGATGAAGGCACAGACTGGGTGGAAGGCACCAGTGCCACAGGCGTACAGGTGGGTCTGGTTGTAGGGGTGCAGGATCTTCACAAAGTTCATGCACTCAGCCTGGGGATGGAGGAAATGAAGGGTGAGGTAGTGCTGGGGCAGATCACTGGCACAGTCCTGGCATCCCACAGCACACTCCATCACTCACAGTGATATCCTTGCCGGCCCAGTTGCATTCTTCTCTCCACTCCACAGGAGCCGGCCAGTAGATCTGCGGGTGGAAAAGGGGATGCTCACCACACCTGGAGCACCTGGCACTGCCCCGGCAGCATGGCCCCCCCGCCCCGTTACCTTCCTGTCCCGCTGGCTGATGTCATCCAGGGCCAAAGAAAGGAGGTGGTTCTTGGCGCCCACGAAGAGACGGCCACGCTCCTCGTCCAGCAGCAGGGCCTCGTAGCAGCAGGAGTGCTCCAGCGAGAAGAGTCGCAGCCCATGGCGAGCCCGCAGCTCTGCCGGGACCCACCGGCACTACTCAGCCCGGCCCCGCCACTGCCTGTCCATCTCCACTGCCCCGGACACGCTCCGAGGCAGCCTGGGTCAGGCCACGGCCCCCTGCCATGCCATCCCCTCCCCCAAACCTGTCCCACTGGCTTGACTAGGTTCACCAAGCCCTTGCCTGCCCAGCATTCACCCCCATGCCAGCCCCACACCCATCCCTGGGTCCCTTGAGACTCATCCCCAAACCACTCAGCAGTGATTCCCATGCCCCTCGGCACCCATTTCTGCACCGCTCACCCGGTGGCAGGGGAGAAAAGGCCATTCCCTGCCCCGCGGAGCTAATCCCACCGTGGCGGGAACAAACAGCCCTTTGTCAGGCTGGGAGGAGAGCTCTCGCTGAGACCCGCCGCTGGACAAAGCCTCCTGCGCCGTGCTGGAGCCCGTGGAATGGCCAGTTTGGACACGGCATCAGCTCTCCAGCTGGCACAACATTCCCAACAGGTATGGCACAGCTGTGGCTAGGGAGTGCCACCATGGTGCACACAGGGATAGGGGCACCTGCACTTGCACATGCCGGGGGCTGGGACTGAGGTCCCAAGCACAGGCATGGCCCCAAGGACAGGCAGGTGGCCCTGGAGGGGCTGGCATCAGCTAAGAGCTGTGGCAGCCAGTGCCAACACCTGATAGCCCACGGGGAGGGCGGCAGCAGCGCTAGAGAAGAGCCAGGGGTTTTGCACCTGCCCCATCGTGCTACTCCCCAGGATATTCCCTCCCTCCTTCCTCGGGATGCTGCTGGCTGCTGCTGACACACAGCCTGCCCGCACGCCCCCCGCCCTGCCCGTGTCCCATGCTCACCGGGGAAGGACAGCTTGAGGCGGGGGGTGGCAGTGGCCGGGGGGCGGCCAGCGGGGAGGCCGCGCAGCAGGAGCAGGAGCAGGAGCAGCGAGCGGCTCATGGCCGGGGTCTGGCTGGTGGCGCCGCGGCTGGGGCAGAGAAACAAGACCTCAGCTCAGGTTACAGCCCCCTCCCCACAGCCCCCAGACCACGATCCCTCCCCGATGCTGCCGACGTGTCTGGAGAGCCCCGAACACCAGCATAGGGCAACTGAAGGCACAGCATAAGAGGATCCCCCACTGGGGGATCGACCTGGTAGTTGGAGGGGATGTGAGCCAGCCACAGCCCTCCCTATTTTAAAGTCCCCATTAATCTAATCCCAAACATAATGGGCTTCAGAAACACCCCTCCTGCTCCTGCCCGTGGGGAAACAGGCACCCCAGCCAAGCAGCATCCAACCCTGCCCGTGCCTGTCTGAGCCCATCTGCAGGAGTGTGCCGGGCTCTGCCCATTCCTGCCTGCAAAGCACAGAGCTGTCCTATAGGAATGGGGACAAGGACAGAGCAAGCACCAAAGTGGTGACAACCAAATAGGGCACTCTGGGCAGTCAGTGAGCTTCTGAGCACTGAGCAAGCTGTCCATTATGGTAGTCATGGGGTGCCGTGCCTCAGTTTCCCCCACTGCTACAGCCCCACCATTAGCCCTTGGCCTTTCTTGTACCACCATGCAAATGGAAGCAGGATTTGCAGGCTCTGGCTAAGCAGGTGCCTGCAATACCCAGAGGGGCCCATGTCAGTGTGTCTGCCACTCTGATGAGTGCCACCACGAGGTAAGGAAGTCCTCCTCCAGCTCTGGCAGCAGCACGCTCTCCCCTGGGGAGTGGGAGGTGATTGTTATCAGGGCACTGTGCCAGAATACAGATCCCACCTTGCCCCCTGGCTATGCTGCAGTGCCTTGTGCAAGGCACCAACTGAGCCATGCCAATCATCAGCCCCTCTGCGTTTCACCCGTGGCACAGTCACTGAGGCCTCACCAGGACACCAGTGACAACCAAAGCCCCACCACAGCCCCGGGGCTCGGCGCAATCACCGCAGGCTCTGCTACCCCGCCTGAGCTGGGAACTGGCGGATGCTGACCCGGGGGTCACAAATCCATGACATGGATGGGGCTCCTGCGGGCAGGGCAGCCCCCTCCAGGCTGGGCGGTGGAGGTGAGCCCGGGGCAGGCAGCGGGCAGCGGACGGGGCCCGGCTGGGCGCAGTGCCGGGTACGGCTGCCCGGTGTCCCGGCACCGAGGCGGTCGGCGCTAATGGCATTCACAGAGGCGCCGGGATGAGGCGCGGGACCCGCCGGGCTCTGGCAGCCCCGACGGCCGCGCCAGCCGGGGCCGTGCCGGGGCACGGGGGCCGCCCGCCTGCCCTCACTGCCGAGCGGCCCGAGCAGACCCCCGGCCGCGGACCCGGCTCTGACTCGGCTGGCACGGGGGGCGGGCGGGGGTCGGGCGGGGTGGCAGCACCGCAGGCTCTCGGTGCTAACCCTGGCAGATCCAGCCCGAGAAACTCCCCGTGCCAACCCCGACTCCAGCCCTCCCGTGCCGGAGGGGACACGAACCCCGCCGCCAGCCCCCCGCTACCAGCACGGGCATTGCCCCCGAGGCAGCGCAGAGACCCCGTCCCGGGACACTCCCCGGCCAGCCCCGCACCCTGCCGGCCCGCGGCCCCGGGCACCCACCTGTGTCCCGGCTCGGCTCGGTCCGGCCCGGCCCCGCCCGCCGCGTCCGCCGGGAGGGAGCGGGGCCGGGGCGGCCCCGCGGGGCGGGACGGGGCGGGGCCGGGGGCGCGCACAGGGACACGCACACGGGTGTGCGAACACACGCTCACCAGCAGACACGCGGGCACCTCACACATGTACACACACACACGCACACAGCCGAACACCCACGGCCCCTCACACACACACACCCGTGCTGCCACCCCAGTGGCCCGGGGTGACACTCACGGAGATACCCACGGCGACATCCGCTGCCCCGGGGCAGAGAGGAGGATGCCAAGGTCAGCACACGTGTGGCTCAGCACACGAGTGGTGGCGGGGCTACCCCCTCGCCGGGACAGACACTTGCTTGCCCGAACGTGGGGGCCGTGCCGGGGGTGCCGGGGCCGTACCGGGGGTACGGGGGGCCGGTCCCGCGCCCCGCTCAGCTGCAGCCCAGATGTCTGGCCCGAGCCCAGCCCGGAGCAAACAAAATTCCTCCGCTGCCTCCCATTTTCCAGCTGCCGCTGCCAAGAATAGCAAGTGCCGAGTGGTGCCGGCAGCGGGGCCACGCGTGCCTCGGCGGGCAGGGCTCGGGGCGGGGGGAACACGAGCTGCCTTGGGGGCCACACCTGCCTTGTTCCTGCGGGTGCCGGAGCCCGGGAAGGCGGGTGCCGGATGAGCGGGCAGGCAGGGTGCAGGCAGCAGGCTGGGCAGGCAGGTGCAGGGAGGCTGGGCAGGCAGGAGTGCGGGCAGGTGCGGGCAGCGGGTGCCAGCAGGCGGGGAGCACAGGTGGGCTGGCAGCGAGGGCAGGCGGGCCAGCAGCGGGTGAAGGCAGCTCAGGTGCAGGTGCGGGCAGGCAGCTGGAGCACGCAGGCAGAGCTCAGCAGGAAGCCAGAGCCGTGCAGGCAAGCCAGCAGTACACAGAAGCTGTGCCAGGGAGGGTGCCCGGGAAATGCCCTTCTGTCCCACTGCCAGTAACCCTCGTGCTGCCAGCCCTGGTACTCTGGCATGCTGGCGGGCTCTGTTCCAGCACCACAACTTGTTGTTATCCTGGCTGTGCCAGAGTGCTGAGTGGCATCCAGCCCAGCCCAGCCCAGCTTTATGGGCAGCAAGGAGGACAGAGACAGCGATGCGATGGGGTGGGGCATCAGAGGAGCTGGCACCGGTACGGCAGGGGTTACTCTGCTGTAAGACTTTGACCAGGCACCAGCAAGACTTTGGGCTGGGTGGCCTCCACACGGGCACGGCGTCCCCGTGCCTACTGTTACAGGATGGCGCTGAGATGGTGGGGACGGGGATGTCGTGCCCAGTCCCGCACAGTGGGCACCTTCCTGTGCTAGTTCAGCGCCGTGCCTCAGTTTCCCTTCACCCAGTTGGGACTTTTCCAACTCCCGGCGAGCGTGGCGAGGTGACCAGGTGACGTCACCGCCACCGCAGCCCAGGAGCCCTGAGGGGACCTTGCTGGCAGCGGCTCCGCCTGGAGAAACCATCAAGCGTCAGAAGGGCCGGGCTTCCATCCCGGAAAGAACGGCGCGGGAGGGATGCGCCACGTCGGCCGCCGGCCACCCCTTCCCGCCCCACGGGGTGTTCTGGGCAGCGCCGGAGCCACGGGGCGCCGCCATGGGGACGGTCCCCATCTGGAACGGGCATGGTCACTAGCATCCCGCCCTCATCCCTACCCTCTGCCAGCCCGCGGGAGGTTTCGCAGCCAGGTGCCGGTGGCCTGGCTCCCCGCCAGCGCGGGGGTGTCCCTGCCCACGGCAGCAGCAGGTGCTGGCGCTCCCGCTCTTTGATCCGTCCCTGCCGCTGGCAGATCCGCACCCAGGGATCGCTGCCTCGGCCAAATCTCTCCCGGCGGTTCCGGCTCCGCCGAGCATCTGTAGCTCCGTCGGCAGCGCCCGAGCCCCCAGCGGTGTTGGCGGTAGGAAACGGCTCCGCTCCGGCTCCGCGGGGCTCCGGGGGCGGCTCGGCAGCGGCACCGGCCAACGCTCCTGCATCTCCCGTGCCGGGGCTGAGCCAGCAGGGCACGGGGGGCATCCATGCCACCAAACGGGTGACCAGGACCACTGACTGCTGCATACCCTGCGTGCAGGGAGAAGGGCTGGGACTGGTATCCGCTAAGCCCTCAGGATGGGTACGAATCCTGCATCCCAAATGGGAATGGTACCTCACCAGAAGAACCCTTGTGATTCTGTGGGGATCTGTGGGGTGACTCCCCCAAGGGTGCTACAGGGTGGCCCCCGATGTCCCTGGGGCCAAGGGGGCTTCCCTCTGCCCTGGTGGAGCCACCATGGCTGAGGACAGGGAAAATCCAAGGGTCAAGGTGAGCTGTGTCATGACAGCTGGTGCCATAGGCATCCCTGTGACACATGAGCTTGGCACAGCACTGCTCCCCAGCCCAGAGATGTGTTGTGCAGGAGAGTGACCTTTGCCAGGACTGCCAGGGACACTGCCAACTTGTCAGCAGGGGGGGAGCGTGGTGTCCTCACCCCAGCCCACACCCATGACCCAAGCACAGGGATACGCTGCTCAAACTAGTATCCCCTGGGTCTGGACACCCCAAAAAGCTGTTGATGGTTTGTGATGGCATTAAAGATGTGGCCTCAGTGGTCCACATCCATAACATTGGGCCATGAGGTGGGCCTTGCGTGGCTGCCACATTCCTGGTACAGGGGAAGGATGTGCTAGGCGGGGGACAGAGCTCATGGCATCCCAGGTGGGCCAATGTGAGGGCTTGGCTGGCAGCAAGCAAATGTGCCTGAGACAGCTGCATCCCTGTAGCACAGCGTGGAGGCAATGTCCCAGGGCCACACCAGCTCTAGGTTCACACCCTGTCTGTGGATACACCCTGACCTTATGTCCACCCCCCACCACAGCATGCTGGTGAGACCCCAGCATCAGGGACCCCAGTGGCCCCAGTGCATTCCTGCTGGGATTAGGTACCGGCTCCCGGCAGTGCCATGCTGGTGTAGCCCAGCTAATCCCTTTTTAATTGTCCCAACCCTGTGTTGGACTGATGTGGGCTGCCCAGGAAAATGGGGGTGTTGTGTGCACCCCAGTGCCTGAGCACCTGTAGGGTGATGCCATCGTGTGTCCCTTCTGTGGGACCAAGCCATAGGGCACATGGTGAACTTTTCAGGTAGTGATGAAGATGGGGATGTCCATCCTCCAAGACAGCGGCTTTTTGGAAAGGGAAAGGGAGGGATCCTGGTCTTATGGGATCCTATCCTCCTGACCCAAGGTGACCATTTGCCCTTGGCTTCGTGTCTGCCAGCAGCCAGGCTCTGGGACAGGCAGAGGGGCCATGTGCCCAGCACTGAAAACCACCGAAGCTCCTCAAAACCATACATGGGGCAGGAGCAGGACACCCAGGCTTTCTGCCACCATCCAAACACTCGCCTCACCCCAGCAGGAGGGCAGTGGGAGAAGCTGAGTCCCCCTGCCTGCTGTCTTGCCAATGTCCCTTTGGCCCTGCCCTGAGCCACACCAACCAGTGGCATCCAGCTCCTTAGGCTTTAAAAATAGGCTGGTGTCCCTGCCATGGGGTCAGTAATTTTAGCCAGGGTGTGTCTTGTCGGGAAGCACGCGGATCCATTCATCTTCTCCTGCTGGCCCGGCTGCATCCACACACAGGGCTGATGTCAGCCCCTGCTGCCCACTTGCTCATCCCTGCCCTGGGGCAAAGCAGCACAGCCACGGCCACCTCGGGCACAGGCAATGCCTGGTGGGATGGAGAGGGTGGGGCAATGAGGATGGAAATGTCCAGCTGCCCCCTGAGCCCGCCTGCTTCCCATCTTGGGCATCTCGCCCCCGAAGCTGGTGGCACCAGGGAGCACAGCATCCCATGGCACCCAGACAGGCAGTGGTGGAGGAGTCCCGGCACCCTGCCCTCTTCTCTCACCCTTCTCTCACCCTGGCCCCCCAGCACAACAGCCACTTCAGATTGCCTCCCACGGTGCTCCCGGGGGGCTGTGCCGGCTGGGAAGGCTGCGGGGGCCGCTGCCGAGCATAATGGGGCTATTGATGGCCGAGCCAGCGGCCCCGGCACGGCACAATGGGGCCTTGTCTGCTGGCCCGGCTCCCGCTCCTGCCCAGCCCCGTGCCCAGCCTCAGGACACCCCCTCTCCCCATCGCCTCGGAGCTCACCCAGGTGCCAGCCGGGGCAAACCCTGCCCTGGCCGAGTCAGTGAGTACTGCCAAGGAGCAGCAGGTGGGAGGCCACCAGGTGAGCTCCCCTTCCCATAAACCAGGGAAGGAGCATTGCTTGGGAAACCTCCCAGCATGGTGGTGCTCACCCCTGCCACCCCTTTGGGACAGGGCTTAGGGGTTCCTGCTCAGCTGTGGGGTGACAGGAACAAAGAGGTGGTACACGCCCAAGGATGCCTTCACCTCCCTCTCAGGACCATGTCCGAGCCCGCTGGCACCCGGTACCCACTGTGGGGACGCGGGGACCTCGCTGCTTCCCAGGGAGCTCCGTTGTCGCAGTGCCCCAACGCCACAGCCCCCCTCAACGGGCCAGCCCGGCGCCCCAAACCCACCATCTCACCTGCTGTAGGGCGTGGGCTCCGCCGCAGCTCGCCTGCCTCCTCGCCCGGCGGGTGAGCCGGG